TTTGGGGAGCGTTGGGCAATGCTACAGGGTGCCGGGTCAGGGGGAAAAGTCAACTTGACCTGAAGACCCAGAAGCCACCCTGGGCTCCGGCAGCCCACCCACAGCTCTGTCAGAGAGAATCTGCTCTGGGCTCCAGTTGGGCCCTTCCTGCATGCATCCACCACGGAAAGGTCTGGGCCATGGGAGAAGGTTCTGGAATATTTTTACCTTCTCCCCCATACACTACATGCCCATCCTTGCTGGCCTATAATGCACCAAACCACCCCAGGTGACGGCCCCGCATTTCTTGCTCAGGGACAACTCATTGCTCTGCACTTAGACCAATTTGTAAAGGGCTGAGGTCAGGCAAGATTCCCAGGAAGAGGCGCAAGGCCAGGGATGGGCAGAGCCCCCTCCTCCCGGGAGCCCAGAACCTAAGGGGCTCCAACAGGGAAGTTTCTTTTTATTTATTTATTTATTATTATTATTATTATTTTGCTTTTTGGGTCATACCTGGCGATGCACAGGGGTTACTCCTGGCTCTGCACTGAGGAATTACTCCTGGCAGTGCTTGAGTGACCATATGGGATGGTGGGAATCGAACCCAGGTCAGCCACATGAAAGGCAAATGCCCTACCCGCTGTGCTGTCACTCCAAACCCTGGGAAAAGTTTCTTGCTCAGATTCCCCAGTGAGCCCGTGGAGCAGCGAGGCCAGCGCCCACCCTGTCCACCCGAGGGGTTTATTCCCCACTGCGCTCTGGGCCTCTTGGCAAAGGTCGGCAAAACACTCCCAGCCCATCCCCTCGTCCACATTCTGCGGCTCCTATAGCAGCGGCCAGGGATGCATGTGGGTCTTGGGGGGCAGGACCTATGCCAAGGGACCCCTTCCTAGTCTCGCTCCTGGCCCAGGGCTGGGTTCTTGCCAACCAGAATCTAGGTCCCCAAATCCCCCCCCGAGGATCTAATGAGGCAGGCAAAGGAGAGAGGCCGGGCTGACAGTGGGGCTTTAGGGGGGCCCGAGACCCCAGCTCTACTCCACACAGCTCCTGCAGGGAATGGGCAAAGGTGCCAACCCCATCCCAGCTGTCACAAAGTCACCTGCTCCCTGCAAGTCTCCCCCATAAGGGAGTGAGCAGGGGCCTGAGGCAGCCTGAAGGGACCCAGCCAGGGACTGAGGCACCAGCTGCTTCCTCCAGGGCCCTGAGAGTCAAAGGAACGACTTTCTGGTAAGATCCACGCCCCTGCCCCAGTGCAGTCTCCCCCAGCACATGACTGCAGCAGGGCGGAGGATGGCGCAACTATTCCAGCAGGGTGTTGGGCCTCTATTCAGCCACCCCTGTCGCGGGGCTCAAAATCAGGCTCTGTAAGAAAGACCCCGGCCGCGGGCTGCTCGTGGCCTCCTGACACATCCCGGCACAGAGGGTCTGTGCATGGAGTCCCCGACTTGGTCCCTGCAGACACAGAACCGCTGGCTGTGCCCCCCCAAAGTACACAGAGCCGGGACTAGCCATGCGCATTGCCTGAGTCGCCTGTAGTCAAGAAAATGGACTCGGGTGGGAAGGCTGGATCTCTGTGGGCCTAGAATCTAGTCGAGTTCACAGTAGCAGCAGGGAGCCCCGGATGGAAGGGAGGACCCAGCCACACCATCTCACGGCTCCCCCCAGCTCTGCTCGAGGTCACACCCAGCTGGTCTCAGGGGTCTGTAGACACGTGTTGCTAGGGATGGAACCCGGGTGGGCTGTGTGCAAGTTCAGAGCCTCTCTTGGGTATTGTGGGGAGAGGTTTGGGCACGTGGAGGTGCCCACAGCCCAGCACTGTCCTTCTACTGGGTACCATCTTTCTTCCGGGTCCTTGTGACAAGTCAGGGCCAGGCCGTGGCTCTTGACTGTGTCACTGGGTCCCTCCTTGAGTGTCTTTAAGCTGTGAAGCTCCTTGCCTGGGGCAGTGCCGGAAGGCTGCTGTGTGCCCCTGGGCCATCCACGAGCAGGGCGCCCACCCCCTATGGGGGCAAATGCTGAGTGACCTAGGGCAGAGGGTCTGAGCTTGGCCCTGGGGGAAGGGCATGAAGCTCTCTACCCCCCAGATACCGCAGGAGGAGGATGCCCCTACGAGAACAGGGCCAGGGCAAGGGTGTGCCACGTCAGGTCTCAGCCCAGCTGCCCTGGGTAGAGCAGGGAACCTGCCCGGCCCCAGGTTGGGATAGCCACGTGCAGTGACCAGCAGGCCCCCTTCTGGTTGGAGGTAGGCCTGCCCCAGAAGACAGAGTGCAGCTCAGGGCTGCCAAGTGAGCACTAGGTGGGGAGAACTTGTGTGAGCAAGAACAGGGCAAGCCATTCCATCCTCCTCTTCCTCCTCTTCTTCCTCCTCCTGGGGGCGGGGGATGGAGATATTTGGAAAAAAAAAAAACTTTTGGCTGGAGTGATAATACGGCAGAGAGAAGGTGCTTGTCTTGCACACATTCGATCGTGGTTCAATCCCTGGCACCACATACAGTTCTCTGAGTACCGCCAGGAGTGATCCCTGAGCACAGAGCCAGAAGTAAGCAACCCCGCCACCTCCCACCAAAATAATTAAATATGAGGGGAAAAAAAGTACAAAGCAATACTTTTTTTTATAGCTGAGTAGTATACCATGTCTATATCCCACTTTCTTTATTCTCTGAGACACTGTGTCAGAACTGAAGAAGCCAGTGGGGCAGGTCTGTGTTGAGGAGGGGAACAGTGGGGTGGGTGAGGGGACAGGGGGTTGGTGGTTGGTAACGTGGCAAATCTGGAACATGACACTTGCATGGTAATGAGTGTTTACAGTCACTTGTCTAAAACTAAGATTTCTTCTATAGCAGAGAGCAAGCCATCCTGTAGACTGGCCAGCTGTGCTAAGTTCTTTTAAATGGCTTATAATTTTTTTCACAATTTTAAAAGATGTGGGGCTGGAGCGATAGCACGGCGGGTCGGGCGTTTGCCTTGCACGCGGCTGACCCAGGTTCGATTCCCAGCATCCCATATGGTCCTCTGAGCACCGCCAGGAGTGATTCCTGAGTGTAGAGCCAGGAGTAACCCCTGAACATCACCGGGTGTGACCCAAAAGCAAAAAAAAAAAAAAAAAAAGATTTTAAAAGATGTATGACGTGAAGTTTGCAAATACAATGAAAATGTCATTTTTCCATGTGGTAAACTCCATGTTGGAGTTTTAAAGATGACGTGTTGAATTCATCCTGTTGTATGTAAGGAGCGATAGCACAGCGGGTAGGGCGTTCGCCTTACAAGCGGCCAACATGGCCGACCCGAGTTCGATTCCTCCGCCCCTCTCGGAGAGCCCGGCAAGCTACCGAGAGTATTCGATATGCCAGACACAGTAACAACAAAGTCTCCAATGGAGACGTTACTGGGCCCGCTCGAGCAAATCGACGATCAACGGGAGGGTATGTAAGGAAGATTTTAGTCTCCCCCCCCACCCCTGCTCCTCTCTCCCTCTCTGTGTCTCTCTCTGTCTCTGTCTCTCCCTTTCCCTCTCTCTCCCTCTCTCTTTCTCTCCCTCTCTCCCTCCCTCTCTCTGTCTCTCTCTGTTTCTCTCTGTCTCTCTGTCTCTGTCTCTCTCTGTCTCTCTCTCATTTTTTGCCTGTTTTCTCATGCAGCACATATCCACTGGCGTGTAATAGCATTATCATACACCGTGACTGAGAACATATTTGTTAGCGGAAGTTGGAAATTTCTGCAGAACTTATTTTTCTACTCCCAATTTTTGCTGAAATTAAATTTTTTTAAATGCCGGAGTATTGCCGTTTATTCAGCCATTGATTAGGCTGATTGAATTGGGCATGAACTCCGCTGAAATTAAAGTTTTAAAAATTTAAGCCATTGATGTAGTGACACATGAGCACCCTCTCTCACAAAAAGCGATCACTTTTGGCGTAAAAGAGACCATCTAGCTGGTAAAGCCCTTGCCTTGCATACGGCCAGTCTGCTCTGCCCCCCAGCACTGCCCTGAGTGACTCCTGAGCACCGAAGGATGTGACCCAACACCCAGAAGAGCCTGTTCCCACGAGCCCTGTGTGACCTCCAGCCTGTAAGGAATCCCCTTTGCAACTCCCAGCTGTGGCCTCTGGCCATAAGCACTGACCAGCCCCAGTCCCCAGCCCCTTGGGCTGCTCCTGAGGGGCTTTGAGGGCCGTTGGCAGGCTGAGCTCAGCAGGGTCAGTCTCCCTCAGACACACGGGGACATAGCAGGACCCCGTGGAAGCCTCAGGTCTGGGCTCCTGAGGGGATCTCAGGAAGCTTCAGGAAGTGAGGGAGACCCACCAAGTGAGGGAGACCCAGATGCAGACCCAGGGCCTGCAGCTCCTCAGGACCCAGTACCTAGAGGCCTCCCTTGGAGCTGATGCTATCACCCCATGGGCCCCGCATTCACGCTAACAGGGGGTGAGAGCTCAGGGTGGCCCCGGGAATGGGGGGAGAGGGGGGAGGGGGCCCATCCCCTGGCCCCCGGTGGACTCTGTCTGCCCTGCTCACTTGGCATGAGCAGGGTCTAGCAGGAGTGTTGTCAATCACCATCGGCCCTAACGGACACTTAGAGGGGTCCGAGGCAGAGACCACCAGAGGGAACGAGCAGGTCTGGCTACCCTGTGGGACCCGCTGAGGAGAGTAATGACCCCCACGACCAGGGCACTGGATCTCTGAGGAGAGGACAGTGTCCTCACCCTCCTCCCTGGCAAGAAAGAGTTAACACATTCCCCCTGAGGGGAGGAGGAGTGAGCTGTCACGGGGTGTCCCCTCCCTGTCAGCCTGTGTTCCCTCCCCACCCCCCAGCGTCCTGTCCTGTCTTGCTTAGTGTGCAGGACCAAAGGTGACACAGTGACTGTGGGCTGAGGCCGTGCGTGCCCGCCCACCCTCAGCATCCCGCCCACCCTCAGGATCGATCATTTAATGTGACTTATCAGAAAGGGAAAGAAGTGTTTACTTTCAAGGCCTGGATCCCATAAAGGCCGCGGGAGAGGCAGACGCCCACAGAAGCGGGAGGCTCACCCACGCTCACCACAGCAGAGGAGCTGGCACTGCGCCTAACATGAAGGCCGCCCTGGACGTCAGGGGACTGACCAGACTTCAGCCACCAACAGACACACCAAAAGGGAAGAGCTTCTCCCCGCTGGTGAGTCTGACTGTTTTGGAAAGAGGCCCCCAACTTTGAGAAATAGGGCTGAGAGACTCTCCAGGTGTGGTTCTTTTAGTTTGGTTTAAAAAAAAAAAAATTAGGGGCTGGAGCAATAGCACAGCGGGTAGGGCGTTTGCCTTGCACACGGCTGACCCAGGTTCGATTCCCAGCATCCCATATGGTCCTCTGAGCACCGCCAGGAGTGATTCCTGAGTGCAAAGCCAGGAGTAACCCCTGAGCATTGCCGGGTGTGACCCCAAAAAGCCAAAAAAAAAATACAAAAATTTTTAAAAAAATTATTGGGGCTGGAGTGATAGCACAGCAGATAGGGCATTTGCCTCACATGCGGCCAACCTGGGTTTGATTCTCAGCATCCCATCTGGTTCCTTGAGCACAACCAGGAGCAATTCCTGAGTGCATGAGCCAGGAGTAACCCCTGTACATTGCCGGGTGTGACCCAAAAAAGGGAAAAAAAATTTTTTTTTATTATACCTAGTCAAAGCCTCGCAAGCTACCGTGGTGTATTCACTATGCCAAACACAGTAACAACAAGTCTCACAAAGGAAACGTTACTGGGCCTGCTCGAGCAAATCAATGAATAACGGGAGGACAGTGCTATAGTGCTATCATACCTAGTGATGCTTACTCCTGGCTCTGCATAGGGATGACTTCTGGTGGGGCTCAGGGAACCATAGGGGGTGTTGGGGATTGAACCTGGTCAACCATGCAAGACAAGGGCCCCACCAGCTGTATTAGCACTCCTGCCTCTCCACAGGTGTTTTTAAAACCCCCACATAACCACACACACACACACACAAACACCTGAGGCCCATCAAATGCCAATTGGGTTTGTCAGTCAGAATGGTTCTATTTCCTCAGAGTCTGAGGGCCCAGAACAACACTCTCTCTGGGGGGTTCTTCTTACCCCAGGAGGGAGAAGCTCAGGCCAAAGGGGAGTCAGGCCCATGCTGGCATGGCCTTTGCGTCCGACAGAGCCGTGTATTGTCGGCTGATGGTCTTATTTAACAGCGACAGCAAGGCCTTCACACAAGGTGCCAGTAGGGTGATGCACTGACAGGAGTAAGGAATCCCACCTCCGGCTTGGGCCTCAGGGTACTGTGTGGCCTCCTGGGATGGGCAGGGCGACAGGTGCTCCTTCTGCCCAGCCTGTGTACTCCCAGCTCTGGAACCCCTTTTGCCCACCCAGTAGACAGCCTGGTTCCCAGGAACCAAGCGCCTCTTCACCCTGACTGTGGGAGGGTTGGCTAAGGAATGTTCTAGTCTGCCCTGCTCAGACAGTTTCCAGCAAAATGAACAACTGTTTTGCTCCCCGTTGGCAAGCGGGTTCTATTTTAAAAGCTCCGTGTACTCTCAGCAAGACAAGCCTCACACCTGAGGCTGACATTCTTTGTCTTCATCTCTAGACGAAAACAGCTTGAAAGAACCCAGCGGAGGCATTTAGCTAGCACACTCGATTTTAAATGACAGAAGCTGTGGGTTTGGAATTAAGACATAAGTGCCTCTATCGGTGGCTTTTAAAGAAATCTCTTTGAGGGAAGTTTGCGGCAAAGTGACACTTTGCGGTTCCTCGGGCCCTGTTTTGCTTAGTCTCCTGGGTTTAGCCCTAGAATGTTCTCAGTCCCAGCAGACAGAATGTCAAAGCAAAGACAAGCTGCCACCTAGCCAGCTCTGATCTGAGGGAGGGTCAGAGAGCTGTGCCAGGCCAGTATCTGGGTCTGAGACAGTGTCTGGGCAGAGGCAACGCATGTCTCCTTCCCAGATGATGAGCTTGCTTGCCCGTGAGGCCTGGGGATGATGTTCACAAAGGCCAATTTAGGACAAAGAACCTGAGACGTGGCAAGGGAAGTAAACCCAGTCTTGCCTGTTTTTTATTCCATGGGAAACAGCGTTGGGAACAGACCACAGCAACTAGAAGTGTGAGGAGATTCGGTGTCGGTGGGGGAGGTAGGAGACTGGAACACAGAGAAGAAACTGTGTTTGAACCCACAGCCAAGCTCTAGGAAGGCTGAACCATCCAGCCCATCTCTGGAGTCCTGGGAAGGCCGGCGAGAGACGGAGGATTTTTCGGGTGTGCTGAGAAACAGGGAGAGCCGGCCTGGCCTTCTCTAAGTTGCAGAGAACCAAGCTGGACATTGAGACAGACCCGCTTGCTGAATAGCCAGTATCTCTGCTTTCATGTTAATGTTTTCTTAGAAATAACAGGTATAAATATTTCCCAACGAGATTGCAAACCTCCTGGATGTTATTAACTAGTACTATTTAAGTTTAGTGATTAAATTAGAAAAAAAAAGAAACACTTGAACAAAAGTTTTTCTTCTTTTTTTAATACACTTTGTTTTACTTTTTTTGTTTGTTTGTTTGTTTGTTTTTGGCTTTTTGGGTCACACCCAGCGATGCCCAGGGCTTAATCCTGGGTCTGCACTCAGGAGTTAACTCCTGGCAGTGTTTTGGGGACCATATGGAATGCTGGCAATTGAACCCAGGTCGGCTGCATGCAAGGCAAATGCCCTACCCACATTCCGGCCCCACAAAGATTTTTCTTACACTTGCAGAATGAGAAAGCCATTTGTGAATATCCAACTAGACATCTCAGGGTCATTTTTTTTTTTTTGCTTAGTGATAGTGTGGATGGCACTTTTTAAAACTATGAACATTCTGTTTTCTTGCTTAGATTGCTTTGCATGTTAACAGAATTTAACTGCTTCTGCAGAAGCAATCAACGAATCAAAGAAGGTGGAAAGAACAATGTTTAAAAAATGTTCAGGAGCCAGAGAGATAGGACAGTAGGCAAGGCCTTACATGAACCAGACCTGGGTTCAATCCCTGGCATCCCAGATGGTCCCCTGAGCCCTACCAGGGATGATCCCTGAGCACAGCACCAAGAGTAAACCCCAAGCACTTTGGAGTATGCCCCCCAAACAAAACAATAACAATCTGCTCATATGGCCGAGCCTATGAGATGTACTCCGTCAATGCTATTGATTGATGCAATAATACGATCATATTATTGTGTTGCATAAAATGTATTTCACTAATAAGTTACTGAGAAATCAGGGTGATATTCCTCTCAGCACCAAGGTAACTTGTTGTTTAGTTTGGGGGCCACACTCAATGGAAATGTGGGTGGGGGACAATCATGAGGTGCTATAGATTGAAACTGGGGTTCCCCCATGCAATCCTCCAAGCTATCTCCCCAGCCCACACAGTGATAATTTCAGAGGAATGTTTGTGAAAAGAAAAAATGTATTAGTGAAGATACACACACACACACACACACACACACACACACACAATGCTTTGCAATGGTCTGAATTCTCAATATATTTCTCACAACAAAAAATTTTATTTCCATTATAGAAATTTAATAAATGCAGAGAAGCAAAGGGTAAAGAAAAGTGAAACCATACTTCTCCCATTTAAAAAACATTTGGGGTTTCTTCCCAGACATGTTTGCATTTTCTATTTCCAGACAAAGGAGCGCATACTCTGTCAGTCGCTTTGAAAACTACTTCTTCCTGTCATTACATATTTTGAATCTCTCCCCAAGTCAGAGCCATATTCCCAAGTAAGCTGACTTTTCTTTTTTATACTATCAGCTTTAAGAACGAGGTTTGGTGATAAACCAATCACCTGACTCCTCTCATTGGACATTTCGCTTATTTCCAATTTCCATCATTACCTATGTTTACATGGACAACCTAACAGGTAATTCCTTGACACTCTGTAAGGAAAAACGAAATTTTTTTCCTAAAAATTCAAGAACTTGGGCTGAAGAGATAGCACAGCGGGTAGGGCATTTGCCTTGCACCCGGCCGACCTGGGTTCAATTCCCAGCACCCCATACTGACGATGAGGAGCAGTTTGATGGAAAAGCACTGCCAGGAGTAACTCCTGAGTGCAGAGCCAGGAGTAACCTCTGTGCATCGCCCAAAAAGCAAAAAAAAAAAAAATCAAGAACTTTTGCTATTAGTTTTCGAGGCCTAAGAAAATAGAAGTTTATTTGGAGGGAGGAAGTTGGTAACTTCCAGCTCTTTTTCCTTCTGTTTCTTCCCCATCCTTCCACCCTACCCCCAGCTGTCTTTTGCAGATTTCCGATGCCCAGAAGCAGAGCCCAAGGAGACTCAGGGAGGCCCAGCCTCTGCTCAGAGGACCTGAGAGAAGCGGATGGGCCCGTCCCTGTGTGCTGTGGGGTGCTCCACACCCACCCGCCAGGCCCTTTATCCCAAGGAGTCAGTTACTCCACCGGTTTTCTCAGCAGTTTTAGGGGACGCGGCTCTCATCAGAGCATAGAACTCTCTTCCGTGAGGATAAAGCGGGTGGTTTGTGTCGGGGACCTCTCCCAGGTGACACAAACGAGCCTGGTAGCTTGCAAGGCGCCAGTAGCTCATCAATTAGCCCATCTCTGGTCACCCACCCCCAGCACTGAGGGTCTGTGGTGGTCACTGGCACCAGCAGAGATTCTATAATAGGGTTTTTAGATATGCCAAACACAGTAACAACAAAAGTCCCCAATGGAGACGTTACTGGGCCCGCTCGAGCAAATCGATGAACAACGGGAGAACAGTGACAGTGACAGTGACCCAGGAGGAACGGAGGCAAAACCGCCCTGGAAGCATTTCCCTCCCGGAAGCATCCCCTCTGCTGCCCCCCCAGCCCCGGACGCGTTCCACCAGAAGCATCCCGCCGAAAGTGTTCACCAGAAGCGTTCTCATGAGCACTGTGGCTCTCTGCAGCCTGATGGAGTCCTGCGGTAGGCAGGATGCCCCGGGAGCCAGGATTCCACAGGGAGAGAAGCTAGTGGACAGAGAGAAAAGCCTCAGCTTAGCCCCAATGCACCAGAGCAGGCGACCTTCATGCTGTCCCAGGGGCCTTGGCACACCGCCGATGGCACTGACGATGAGGAGCAGTTTGACGGAAAAACACAGGTCTCGTTTTCAATTGTTGAGATCCCGCCAATGTTATGCCACAGCAGAGCTCTGGTTAAATGTTAACACCTCAGTGACACTGGGGATACAATGACCTGACCCCCTCCCAGCCCCCCCCCCGGAGTCAGGGCAGGGGGGAAATTAGGAATTAGGTTAAAAAATCTTCCTTTCCTCTCATTCCTGGGGGGGGGCTGAACTCCCAGAGGGCTCCTGCTTATTGAGCTGAAACAACTAATAGTTGTTTAAAACTATTTTTAACAGGAAACCAAGCAAACATAAGGGATATCTTCTTAGGAAGGTAATGTTTGCCAGGAAAAAGAAGAGAGACAGAGAGAGAGAGAGAGAGAGACAGACAGAGAGAGAGAGACAGAGAGAGAGAGAGACAGACAGAGACAAAGACTCAGAGACAGAGACACAGAGACAAAGACACAGAGACAGAGAAAGACAGACAGAGAGAGACAGAGACAGAGAGACAGATAGGAGACAGAGGAGACAGAGGGAGAGAGAGGAGAGTGAAGAGGGAGAGAGAGAGAGAGAGAGAGAGAGAGCTTTATTAAGAAATTCTCAGGGGTGGAGTGATAGCACAGCGAGCAGGGCATTTGCCTTGCACGTAGCCAACATGGCCGACCCAGGTTCGATTCCCAGCATCCCATATGGTCCCCCGAGCACCGCCAGGAGTAATTCCTGAGTGCAGAGCCAGGAGGAACCCCTGAGCATCGCCGGGTGTGACCCCAAAAAGCAAAAAAAAAATATCTCCACTTCCCTCTTTTCCTGACTTTTTCCCTCATATCTCCCACCCCCAATTATGGTGGCAAAGGACTGCGGTGACTGAGATTTAAAATCTGAGCCCTGCAGGACACCTCTGAGTCAAGAGATGCTCCTGGTAGATTCCAGCCCTCTCTCTAGCTGCAGGTCCCCACACAAACCTGGTGCGCTACCACACTGCTAATGGTTTTGGAGGGGAACCCGGCAACAGTCAACTGTCGGGTCTAAGATTATGGCTCCTGACACGTCTTCCATTCCCTCCCACTTCCTTCCAGAAAACGCCTGCAAGCAGATTTCCCACCATTTCCGTCAGAGCTTTCCATCTCGGGTTGGAAGGTCTTCGGATGGTGGGGACAGAACTCCGGGCAACGGGGTCCCTTGGTTAAAAACACAACGGTCCCAGACCCATAGGCTTCTCTGCCTCTTGCTCTTGCCACTGTGCTCTGTTTGTTTTCACTCCCGTGACGCCTGTCCTCTCTTCTCAGGTGACTGTGCTGACCAGACTCCCTGCCGAGGTCGGTGACCACGAAGGAATGCGGGAGACGCAGTGAACCCCTTCACGAGCTTCCTTAGCAGAGCTGTGGAGTGTGACAATGGTGTTTGTGTCCAAGCTCTCAAACGCCATTATCACACTAAATAGCTACTGTTAGGCCATCCTTCCACTTGCTGGCGCTGGGGTCACGGGGGCAAGAAGGTTTGTCTTGTAGCAGGGCTCCCAGACATGTGTAATGACTGAGTAAATACCTCAGGGTTTCTGCACTAGGAAGTGAAGTCAGTTGCCCTTGGCATCGCTTCAGATGCTGTTAAATTCTCTCCCTGCAGGGCTGGAGCAATAGCACAGCAGGTAGAGCATTTGCCTTGCACCTGGCCAACCCAGGTTCGATTCCCAGCATCGCATATGGTCCCCGGAGCACCGCCAGGAGTAATTCCTGAGTGCATGAGCCAGGAGTAACCGCTGTGCAAAGCCGGGTGTGACCCAAGAAGGAAAAAAAAAGAAAAAATAATTCCCTCCCCGCTGAGTGGATTTCTCGCTTTCCTGCGTCAACAGGAAGATGGCTCTGCGCGCCCAGGAGCACCGAGCACAAATCTGGGCCCCTACTCTCCAGGGGGGCTCCTGCTTATTGAGCTGAAATGCAAGAGTGGGAAAGTCTGAGAAGCCCCAAAACCCAAACCAACCAAAATCTAGGTCAGGCAGACAGCAGGCTTCTGAGTGCAAAATTAAAAGGGAGTCACGGTTCGTTAAAAAAATAATAATTCTAATAAACTGACACATGGCTTAAGTGACCTCTCAGAAATTCTGGAACGTATTTGATTTCTGCTGGTTTGAATTAATTACCAGTCTGTTTACTGGCCTTGTCTGTGTGCTAGGTCCTTCTTCCTTATGCTTCCATAAATTACTGTCCAGAAATCCTGTGTGAGTTGCCATAGCAAACTGGAACATTTGAAACCCCTGCAATTTTCTGGGACAATCCACCCTGCTGGTTTAGAACATTTTTCTCTCAAGAGGCATTTAAAGCAAGAAACAGGTCCTGTGTGTGCTGACCTAACGCTTCTCTCCCAGACTTACCTACATGAACTATTATATGTGCATCACATCTAAAAGGGCTGGATGTCAAAATGAGGGCCAGGAGGATTGGTCCACGGTTGGAAGCTTGCCACGAGTGGCGGGTGGGGGAAGGGCAGTTAGGACAGAGAAGGGACCCCGACGACAGTGATAACTGGAAATAATCACTCTGGACAAGCACAGAGTGCTGAAAGGAGGTATAGGGACATACAGAATAACCTTTCAGTATCTGTATTGCGTATTGCAAGCCTTAATGCCCCTAGCGGGGAGGGGAGGGGGAGAAAGAGAGAGACAGACAAACAGAGACAGAGACAGAGAGAGAGTTCTGTAGAGGTAGGCTGGGGAGGTGTTGGGAGGGAAGCTGGAGACATTGGTGGTGAGAAATGTACTCTGATGAAGGGATGGGTGTTGAAACATTGTAACTGCAACCCAATCAAGAACAACATTGTAACTGTGTATCTCATGGTGATTCAATTAAAATAATTTTTTAAAAAAAGCTAGAAAACTCTAAATCAAGCAAAAACAACAACAACAAAGAAAACACCTAATTCTAAGAAGAGTCAAACAGAAAAAAAGAAATCCAACAGGTTGGAGCCATCATCAGAAACAAGTTCATTCATTCATTGATTCATTCATTCATCAAAGAACCGGGTATCCAGGGCCCACCACACATCCCACTTCTTTAGGCGGGGAATGGGGGAGTGATTTCTACACTCAACGGGTCTAACATCATTTAAAAACTGGAGCCGCACTGGGTTCTGGTTCCTGCTTCACCTGTGAAGGGACATTCTGATGATCCCAGTCGCGTTTACTGGGGGACCCAGTGAGTGAAACGTTGTCAAACGGCCCCAGCTCCCTTCTTGGGGATCCAAGATCCTCCTGCCTCCTCCCATCTCCCATTCCTGGCAATACACACCGTCAGGAGGAGAACCAGAGCCCCCCTGCACCCCAAAGAAAGATGAATGTGTTCCTTGGTGTGGTTTCCGGAGAAGCCCTAGGGGAGGTGGGACCAACAGAGGCTTCTCCACTCGCCCACATTGTCTCACTGGCTCAAGCGACATAGGTGAGGGTGGCCCGCAGAGAGGGAGGGGTGTGTGGGGGCTTGGAGTGACCCCCGTATCCTTCACCTCCTGCCTCCCCTAGTTTGGGTTATCCCCCCCCAATCTCACGCTCCCTGCTGGAACCCCAGGGAGGTTGAGCTCATCAGATCAGACCTGGCTGCAGATCCTGGGTTGGCGGCCTTGTCCAGGGTTTCGAGGGGAGCCTGGGGTACATGGAAAGTGTTAGGGGACCCCTTGTCTCAAGAGAACGCCGCCATGCCAGGCCCGGCGGGGGACCTGGACAGAAGAGCCAAGTTTGGGGGGAGGAAGGGGCTGCCCAATTGCTCAGTCATGTTCAGTCCACTTAGTGACAAGCCCTGAGCCACCCACTGCCAGGGGTCAAGGGTCTGCATCCCCCCCAAGCCCCCTCCACTTCTGCCTGCCCTGAGAGTGAGCCCAGGTGGAATTCAACGTCCCCAGAAGGGCGCGCTGCTGGTCCCTACAAGGCTGATTTAGGGCCCCGTTTTCGGGGGTTTCTGCCGGGGCAGTCCTGCCTCTGCACTCAGGGGTCACTGTCCATCTCTCCGAAACACACAGGGGGAGTCAAGGCCTCGCCTCATTTCCAAACTGCGTCTGATGCAATCCTGCAGCTTAAGAGCTCTGATTACTGAAGCTACCCACCACCCCCACCCCCTGCTTTGATCTCTACACCCCCACCCGGAGCATCACTGCCATCACTGCCACCCTCCTTTCCAGCAGAGAGTCTGGGCCTTTCATCTCTCCCTGCAGGAGCATCCCTGCCACCCTCCTTCCCAGCAGAGAGCCCTGGGCTCATGCCGGCTCCCGTGTCATTTGCGAGATCAAAGCTGTTGCCACGGTGCGAGCAGGCGGCCAACACACGTGCTTTCCTGTCGTGAGTCCAGAGGCCTTTGATCCCTGAACATCACATACCTGGAGCACGGACTGGCCACTCAGGACCTGTCCCAGCTCAACCAGTCCCCCCAGGGGGTCTCAGAAAGCAGCTTCACTGCTCCCCGAGGTCAGTGGCTGCTCCATACAATTTTTTCCGAGCTCCTGGAATTCTGGTCTCTTGCTGGGAGTTGCCGCCCTGGGATCAGAGGACAGTAAGGGCGGGAGTGGATTTGCAGGCAGGAGCCCTGGGTTCCATCTCTGGCACCATATGATTTCCCCCACCCCACCCCAGCATTTTCATGGCAATCCCTGAGCACTGGAGCTAGGATAACCCCTGAGCACTGCAGCGGGGAGTAGCCTCGTAATCAAACCAACAATGGAACGGGGTAGCTGCGAACAATGTTCCCCTTTGTTCTGAGGACCTGAGAGGCAAAAGGCTGCTCCCAAGACCCCTTGTCTGATGTCAGCGTGCAGTTGGGCTGACTCCAGGTCCAGCCAACTCATCCCCATGCCCCGTGGCTACTGCCCACCCACAGGGGACATAAACGTGAGCCCAACCCTGCTGAGTGAGGCTGGGGTCTTACTGTGCCCCCCCCCCGACTCGGTGTTTTAGTCGCTGAAGTACAGAGGAAATTAATGAGCTGAGGTGTGTCTCCATACTACTCATGTGCTCCCTGCGGGAGGAGCAGCAGCGCCCCCACTCTTTCGTGCAGGGAACTGCAGCCAGGGTGCCCATGGCAAACTAGTGGCCCAGAGAGAAAAATTCAGTCTTTAGAAAATGGGTAAGACCACGCAGGTGACTCCAACAGGACTGAGGTGTGCCGGACTTTGGGGCTGCCTGGAGGAGGTGACATTTAGGTGGAAACTTGGAAGAGAAGTGAAGTTTTTCAGATGAAGGAAGGGGACTGGACACAAGGTCCCCCGGGCTACTGCCTGGAAGTCTCGGGACGGAAGAGAGCTTTTCAGACAGTTTTTGTAGAGGGTGTCATTGAAAAGTCGACTGTGCAGTGCTCTGTGCTCCTCTGCATTGCGTCCCAACTGTGGTAGGTGACTGTTGGGTTAAGGAAAGAAAATAAAGGCACACAACTCTGCTGCAGGCCCGGGCTCAGGCTGGTGTCAGGCTTGGGGCTTCTACTGGACCAAGAAATAACTTTCAAGGACTGGAGCGATGGCACTGTGGGTATAGTGTTTGCCTTGCACGCGGCCGACCCGGGTTCGATTCCCAGCATCCCATATGGTCGAGCACTGCCAGGAGTAATTCCTGAGTGCATGAGCTAGGAGTAACCCCTGTGCATTGCTGGGTGTGACCCCCCCCAAAAGAAATAACTTTCATACTGACTCTAGGCCCCTAACTAGACAGGACTGGCCAGCGGGGCCCTTCCTGACCTCCAGCCTCAATATGGATACAGAGTAGAGCAACAATATGGATACAGAGTAGAGCAACCAAAGAACACTCAGGACCCAGGGGATCCAGCAGCTGGGAACGGGCAGGGAGGGAAATGAAGGGCAGAAGACAGCCTGCTTTCTGCTGTGGCCAAGGTCCTTGACCAGTTGAGCCCCTGACAACTGAGCCCCTGACCAGCCAAGTCCCGTGACCAGCCGAGGTTCCTCACCAGCCAATCCCCTGACCAACTTAGTCCCTGATGAGCCGATCTCCTGATCAGCTGAGGTCACTGACCAGCAAGTCCCTGACCAGCTGAGTCCCTGACCAGCCAAGGTCCCTGACCATCCGATGTCTCTGACTAGCCGAGGTCACTGACCAGCCGAGTCCCTGACCCGCAGAACCCTTACCCAGTCCCGTCCCTAGCTGGCAGCAGCCCCTAACCTGCAGCATTAGCCTCCCCAGTCTTGCTCAAATGCAAACCTTCCTGAGGAGCTCCACGTGTGTGTGTGTGTGTGGAGGGGGCACCCTCCCTCCCCCACAGCCTGTGGCATAAAGCCCTCCAGGTGGTTTCCGTGGGCCTCTGGGCTGCAGGCCTGGCCTCCTGCCCTGCTCATTAGTGTTTAATGAGACAGCAGTGAGGAAATCAGAAACCAATTACTCTTACTTACCTGGGAGAATTACTCTTGCCCAGTGTTCTCACTCCTGGCTGCTGATCACAAACCCCCAGAGATTTAAGAACTATGGGAGGGCAGGGCAGGGCAGGGCCAGGGCCCAGAGCAGTTACATCAGCCTCTGAAGGTGGCCTAGGGCAGAGACATTTTTTGGGGGGGTCTTACCCGGCGATGTTCAGGAGTTACCCCTGGTTCTGCACTCAGGAATTACTCCTGGCGGTGCTTGGGGAACCATATGGGATGCTGGGAATTGAACCCGGGTCGGCCACGTGCAAGGCAAACGCCCTACCCGCTGTGCTATTGCTCCAGCCCCGGGCAGAGACATTTTTAACCACACCAGGGGACGATAATGTGGACCCAGAATTGAGCCCCGATGTAGTAAAAGGGTTGCCAGCAAAAATATATTATTATATATTAATAATATATAATATTATTATATACAAGAGGTAGCTCAAAGGGCAAGAATAGATGTTTTGTATGCTCTGCTTTGAAGGACTTTGAGAAGTTGATAGGCCCGAGCACTAATAACTTCCACCAGAGCACACATGTGGGTACCGAGTCCTAAGTCACTCAGACCAAGGGAGACTTTGTTTCTCTCTTTCAATCACAAGTCTAGATCAGGGGCAGCAGTTCCACAATGTCTTTTGCAACTTGGGTCCTGCTTGGCGTCCGCGTGATCTTGTCCTCATGGTCACATTGTGGCTGCCAGAACTCCGGCCACCATGCTCATTTTCTAGTCAGGGGTGCAAAAAGGTTGATAGGTAAAGAAGACAGCTGCAGCCGCTGTGGCCCCTTCACAAGGCCTCCTGCACAAAGGAGAAGCCCCAAAAAGTCCTCTGCAGCTTGGGTGTCACTGGTCAGAATGGCAATGTGAAAGTACTCACCTCCAGGGGCAAGGAAGTCTGGGAAACGCGATGTTTTAGCCCTGCACTAACCACCAGAAACAAAAGTGGGTTTTGTTTCTAAAGAAGGAGAGGGTGCTCAAGGGTATGATACATACTTTGCTTGAGTACATGTGAGGTTCCAGATTTGATCCCTGGCCTGTTGCCTCCACCTTGCCCCCCAAAGATAAAGAAAAGGAGGAAGGGAAGGATCAGGGGACAGTCAGGGGTTCGGGTATATGCTTGGCAGAAGCAAGGCCCAAAGGTTGATGCCCTGGCACCATCTGGGTCCAGCACCACCAGCAAGTCACTGCCGAACTCTATTGGGAGCAGCTCCAAGTTCATGATCATTGCTGGTGTAGCCCCTGGGAAAGAAATCTGCGGCTGGAGAGATAGTACAGGGGGTAGGGCATTTGCTTTGTCTGGGGCCAACCTGGTTCAATTTATAACCCCAGATAGATCCCCCTGAGCACTTCCCGGAGAAATTCCTGAGCACAGAGCCAGGAGTAAGCCCTAAGCATCCTAGGTGTGGCTCAAATATCAGGAAAAAAAATTTTTTTTAAATAAAGAGTAAATAAATCAGAAAGAAAGAAAGGGAAAGAGATATTGGGCAGAGAGCTTCAATGAGAATGCATCCCCCTCATTCTCTATCCTGCAATGCACAATTCTGGTAGTGAGGGGAAGAAAAGGATGGAAAATGGAAGAAATAGAACTGGAAAAGGAATGGAACTGGAAAAAAAACAAAACAAAAAAAAAACAGAAAACAACGAGCAGGTGGAATCGCTTTCCCCCAAGCAGGCTCTTCAGATCCGCAGAGCCAGGTTTCCTCTTCCCAGCCAGGGGTCAGGGCAGAGTGGGAGAAGCCAGCTGGGAGCAACCGGGAGCACTGGCCGTGAGGGGTGCTGTGGGGGTCCCAAGTGGGGGACACCTGCAGGACTGGCCTCAGGGAAGGCGGGCGAGGGCGCCACCTGGAGGCCGAGCTGAGCAAATGCCATCTGCAGATGGGGGAGAAAGTTAGGGGTTCTCCCAGCTGCAAAAGGTATAAAGAGAGCTACAGCGCTAGCACAGTGGCTGTGGGCACTTCTGAGAACTCCCCCCCACAACCATGTCCACTCACATGGGAAGTTCCCAAAAGGCCTGCTGACAGACGGCCACCCACCCCGCAGAGGTCTCAGGCATCACCAACAGGGACCGGTCCTACTGCCTCCTGCTACTCCTGACGCATCATCCTCTACTGTCTGTAAACATGAACCCAATTGCAGTGAGCAGGAGATGCTTAGACCAATCTCAGCTTCTGTGAAGGGAGGGCGGGTAGCAACTGCCAGACACCCACCTGCACAATTCAGGAGCCGGGAGTCTGGCTGTCTCCAAGCCCAGTTCAAAGGTAGCTGAGGGGACAGGTCATGAGGATTACCAGCCTTTTATTCCGAAGCTTCTGATAATTTTAAAAGCAGTCAATCTTATATTTATAATCACAAACCTAGTTTGTTGAGAACTCTGGGCAGGTCCACAGTGGGTATATCTCTATCTATCCATCATGCATCCACCATTCCATGCATCCATCCTTCCACCATCCATCCATCCTTCCATCACCCAATCATCATCCATCCATCCTTCCATCACCCAATCATCATCCATCCATCCTTCTACCCATTCATGCATTCCAATCCAAATATATCCAAAGACACCAACCAGCCATCTATGGATTCTAATCCAAGTATGTCCAAATACATCTGTCTGGTCTCTCTGCATGGTCTTTCTTGCAGAAAACAAGCATTTCAGAATTAGCGGGCTACTTTCAGATGGTGGCACAAGACGGCAGGACTTCTGCATTTCTGAGAGGGAGCTAGCTCACGTGTTCGCTCCTTCAAATCATTTTTCAAAGCAAAGGTGCCATTCTCTCTGCCATGAAAAAGTTCCATCATGTCCCAGCTGTCCCTGTCCCTGCACCCCGTGACAGCCTACCATTCTAGGCTGGCAGACAGCCGCGCTCAGGTCTGGCCCACTCCCGTCCTGGTGGGGGCCTTGAGCTGTCCACGGGAGAAGCAGGTCCCAGCCCGCCCAGACCCCGCCACCCGGGTAAGGGCTGAGTGTGCGCTCTTGTGGAGAAGCGTCAATTCTGCTGTTCACAGGGGGCTGGACGTGGCAACCTAGGTAGTCGGAGGAGGGGACGGGGAGGGTGTTGAAATCTGTATCCAAAGCCAACATGGGCTATGAAAAGATTCCAGCTCCACGGGATTCCGGGAAAAACAGAACTCTGGCAGCAGAAGAGGGAGCTGAGCTGACGACATCCGGGTTGTGCGGGGAAGGAGAACGGGAGGCGCCCAAGGAGAACGGGGTCAGGGTTCCACAGCACCCAGGGGTGCCCCCATGTCAGACCACCCTGCTTCAGAGGGGGCTGGTAGGTGGCTCGACAATGTCATCATGCCATGATAGGGGCCACTGCAGAGCAACAAAGGTGCCCAGTCCTGCTAGATGGAAACGGTGGGGCTGAGGGACCCCACCCCGGCTTTCCACTCACTTCCAGGATCCTAATAAATAGTCTCCTTACTAAGTAATCAGCTTCCTTTCTTTGTTTTGGGCCTCACCTGACTGTGCTCAGGGGTCACTCCCGGTGGGGCTCAAGGGATTCTATGCAGGGCCACGTATCAAACCCAGGCTGGCCCTGTGCAAGGCAACCAAGAGCTCTACCCATTGTGCTATCTCTCTGGCCCGCAGACCAAACAAACAAGAACAAGCAACAAGGGATTTTTTTCTCTCTGTGCCTGAGGTTCTGTCTGTGTGGGTTCCTTTGCTCCCAGAGAACAACTGTGTCCCTCACATACATACACATCTGCTCTGCAGCTAGCAGAACCCCCAGCGGCTGGATGGAGACCCCTGTTATATAAGCAGGTTTGAAGGGCTGGAGCCAAGATGAGCATCTTTCTGGGGGCTTCAGTGTGGGCTCCCCGCGCCCCCCCACCCCCCAATGCTGAGGGACCTTAAACCTGGCTCTAAGTGGAAAGTGATGGAAACTGTGACCCGGAAACATGTGATAGGCAGGAATAATAGTACAGCAGGTTTGGCTGCTTGCCTTGCAACAGGGTAGACCCAAGCTCAAGCCTCAGGACTCCGCATGGTCCCCAAGCACGACCAGGAATGATCCCTGTAGTATAAAATAACATAACATGAGACTGACACCCAAGGACAGTAGACACAAGGGCCAGGAAGATTGCTCCATAACTGGAAGCCTGCCTTATGAGCAGGGGGAGAAGGCAGCTGGGATAGAGAAGGGGTCACTAAGTCAATGATGGTTGGAGGGATCGGTCGGGATGGGAGATGAGTGCTGAAAGTAGATAAAGGACCAAACTTGATGGTCTCTTAGTTTCTGTATTGCAAACCATAATGCCCAAAAGTAGAGAGAGAGTATGGGGGAATTGTCTGCCAGGGAAGCAGGGGGAGGGTGAGAAAGGGGGGGGTATACTGGGGTGATTGGTGGTGGGGAATGTGCACTGATGGAGGGATGGGTGTTTGAACATTGTATGATTGTAACTCAAACACGAAAGCTTGTAACTGAATCTCACGGTGATTCAATAAGAAAAAAAAAAAAAAAAGGAATGCTCCCTGAGCTCAGAGCCAGGACTGAGCCCTGAGCACCACCCGAATGGCCAACAAACCCAACAAACCGAAGAACACGGGGAGGGCCCCATGGAAAGGAAGGTCTGGGCCCCCGCAACCAGGCTAGGAAATTACTCGATTCCAATCCGGAGGGAATTTAATGGAGCAGGAAGTGAGGATGCGGTGGAGCCGGCCAGGCAGCCCATGTTCCACACACGGGCAGCGGCCTTGACCCCAGGAAGGAATTCGGGGTCTCATGGTTCCATAGGCGGGTGGACGAGTCTAGAAATCTCGGGTGGGAAGCAGGGGTGGGGAGGGTCTTGGGCCTGGGGCGGGGGGTTGAGGGGGAGCTCTGTTCAGCATGCACCCACGTCCCACCACGGGTCCAGATGCTAACAAGGTGTGCAGGAACAGAGCCACTGGGGGGTGTCTCCTGAAGTCTGGTCGCAGATCCTGCCCCAAGCCCTGGGGACGCAGACAGAGGGGATGGGTGTGGAGCCAGGATGGCTTGGAGCTGGGAAGCATGGGTAGGTCCAGGCGCCTGCACAGTGTGGCCGGCAGGGGGCGCTGCGTCCCGGGCCCTCAGGGTTTCTTCTCGGAGGGGTTACCCAGGGCGGGCTTCCTGGAGGCAGCCTCCGCCTTCCCCACACCGCAGCTGGGCTTCTTCTGCTTCTGGCTGTGACTCTGCAGGGACTTCAGCCCCAGCATCTTGCAGTACTTGTTACACTGGTGGAGTGCCTTGAACTGGTCGATGAAGGACATGGAACAGTTGCCTTTGAACCCCTTGTACCTGGGAGTAGGGGAGGAAGGAGACACGATGTCATGGTGACAAACAGGGTATTTCCCCCAACCCCGGATTTAAAAGACAACTGCACAAGGGAACGACAGCGCCTAGAATGCCCATGCCCCCATTAACAAGCACAGCCCACGGCTGACAGAGCAAAGCCTATGGTGAGGAGGGCAGACTGGGGGCTTTACTGAGCACTGAGGGAGGAGTCTCCTTCCCTACTGGTATTCGCTCCTGCCCTCGTCCTTCCTGTCAGAGTGACTCTGACCATAAGCATGGACCAGCCCCGGGGGCTGGAGCAATAGCACAGAGGGTAGGGCATTTGCCTTGCACGTGGGTGACCCCGGTTCGATTCCCAGCATCCCATATGGTCTCCTGAATACCGCCAAGAGTAATTCCTGAGTGCAGAACCAGGAGCAACCCCTGAGCATCGCCGGGTGTGACCCAAAAAGAAAAAAAAAAGCATGGACCAGCCCCTGCCCCCAGCCCCTCAGGCCTCCTGCTCTGAGGGTCTTTGAAGGCCATTGGCCGGCTGACGTCACCAGGGTCGAGTCTCCCTCAGACACACGGGGGCATAGCAGGACCTCGTGGAAGCCTCAGGTCTGGGCTCCTGAGGGGATCTCAGGAAGCCTCAGGAAGCCCCCACGGTCACCCACCGAGTGAGGGAGACCCAGACTCAAACTAGATTTGTGTGTGAGCAGACAGCCACTCCGGTTCCAAACAAAAAATTCTAGAACCTTCTGGCCAAAAGACATTGTTTTATTTAGACGCGTTGTGACAGTTTGAGAAATTGTCACCTAAATGTCAAGGGACCCGCCAAACCAGACGGAGCAAGTTGACAGGACTGGGACTGTGGTCTTCCACCGAGATCTGTCCCCCACATCCCTCTGTTCCCTAGTGGGGGCGTCACCTCCCTCAGAAGCCACCTCTGCCCTGGGCGGACACCCTCCTGCTCCCTGCACTCCCTCCCCTAGGCCTCCACCTAGGCCTGGCACTTAGAAGGGTCCAGCTGGAAAAAGGCAGGGCACACCAAGTGGGAATACAGGGAACAGATGCCTCCTGCCCGCAGGAACATTCTAGAATCTTCCAAAGTCTCTGCACTCATGGCTTCTCCAACCACACCCAAACCAGAAGCCTCTCTGAGGAAGAGAGAAGACGAGCCCGCGGGGAGAGAGGCACCCCCAGGAGAGGGACCCTGACCCCTGATCCTGTCCTGACCCAGAATACCAGGCAGCTTCTCCCGAGAGTGCAGACGGAAACTCAAGTGGGGGAAAGAGCCTGGGAGGGGCTGTGGGAGACAGGACCCCCCCCCCCCCATAAAATGAGATCTCTTCATTGTTCACAGCCCTTTCCAAAGCCCACTCTTGTCAGATTGCAGGTGTGGAGCTGCTTCTATATGTGTGTGTGGGGGGGGGCGGTTAAGGGTCTACTGTGCTCGCATTGGACAGCCTGCTGCAGGGCCCGCCTCTAGAAACACACCCGGAAATCCCAGAGAGGGTTTTTGAGCCCCTAGGGATACCCACAGGAGTGCGCCAGGCCTCTGCAGGGGGCGGTTATGAGCTCACAGGAGCAATACAGGCTGAGAAATCACCTCGCAGGCACTGTTCAGGGAAAGGAGCCCTGGCTCCCAGCTCCCGGCCTGCCACAGAGCCGTCCTTTGGAAGATCCTAAGCCCAGTCCAGGGCACCGCGATGGGGCCACCTCCTGAGGCCGGGGACGCCTGTCCGACTCTGGACGCCAGAAGAATGGTAGCGTCAGCCTTGGCAGCTTGTGAAAATGCCAAGAGCTGCCTTCAGGCGTCCCTGCCAAGGAACCTGCTTCCACACCCCGATGACTGAGTCAGATGCTGTGGGTCAGACTGGGCCGGACCTGACGGCTGGTCAGATGCAGTGAGGTGCGGCTGCCTCCCAGGACGGCGGCACAGAGCTGTGGAAAGTGGCTGTGGACGACAGCCTAGCTCCTTTCCCCGTCCTGGGAGCCCCTAAGCCAGTTACCCAGAACTGGGGTCCCCAGAAGCCAGCTCCCTCAGGCCTAGAGACACCACACACACATGCACCACACTCATGCACACATGTGCCACACAACCCTCCATACCCTATACACACTCACCACACACATACACCACATTCACACACACATATGTACCACACAATCCTCTATGCCACCACACACATATACCACATTCATGCACACAAGTGCTACACAATCCCCCATATCCTATACACACTCGCCACATACATACACCACATTCACACACACATGTACCACACAATGCCCCATGCCCTGTACATACTCACCACACACTGTCACTGTCCTGTTGTTCATCGATTTTGCTCAGCGGGCAACAGTAACGTCTCACAACAAATTGTGAGTCTTGTTGTTACTGTTTTTGGCATATTGAATACGTCACGGGGAGCTTGCCAGGCTTTGCCGTGCGGGCAAGATACTCTCAGTAGCTTCCCGGGCTCTTCGAGAGGGGCGGAGGAATCGAACCAGGGTCAGCCATGTCGGCTGGTACAAGACAAACGCCCTAACCGCTGTGCTATCGCTCCAGCCTTACTCACCACACACATATACCACATTCATGCACATGTACTACATAATCCCCCAATGACCTATACATGCCACACACATACACCACATTTCCGCATGTACTCACCCCATACTTGACATACAATGTACATATTCATCACACATTTGACACACACACTTTTACTACACACGTTTCCCTCACATCCCCCCCCACACTCACCACACTCTACCCACCACTTCACACATACTACATCCATGCACACATATATACTACACATTTCCTCCACATCCTCTTGCACACACCCCACACCATATTCATTCACATGTGCATCACACATATTCCTTCCACATGCACATACTCTGTACATACAGACCACACACATTCTCTTCCATAAACATCCCCTACACATTCTTACCACACATTCCACACACACACCACACACCCTCCTTACACATCTCCCTACGCTACCTCACACTATAACACAGTCATGCACACACATGCCATATGCAGATTCTCACACACTTGCCCTTACATATTATTCATGCTACACATGCAGTCCCCTCACTGCTACACCTTCCCTTCCACATATATCACATACATGCACACCACACAATATCCTCCAACATGTCATGACCACATGCACGCAACACCATGTGCGTGCCTGCATCATGCACCCTACACAGACATGCACACCCAAGGGCAGACCCTGCGGAACTGTGTCACTAACCACTTCCTGTTTCTGACCAGGTACCACTTTCTGCCAGACCAGCAAAGGGTTTGGTTGGGAGAAAGCCAAGGGCCAAAACGATTGCTCTGGTGCCCCCTGCTGGCTAAATCACAACCGTACTGTCTCCAAGGAAACAGCAGGATGCCTGGGCGTCGAGGCTACATCCTCAGCTACGGTTTGGTTAGGTGACATTTCTAAGTCTTCATTCACCGAATTCGTTACTTTTCCTTCTTCCCCACAGAGGAGGTGTATAAGCGGCCAGGTCCTCTCACAGCAGAAACGTGCCCGGTGTTCACCTTAGGGGTCTGCCCAGAGAATGGAGGATGAGGGGTGGGCACAGTGAGTGCCCTGCCACCACTGCAAACTTTTGTGCTCAGGTTGCCCACAGATGAAAGTGTTCCAGACTCAGGTCGGACCTTTCCAGAGAGTCGCTGGCTGGCTTCCAGGGAAAACAGGATGTCTGCTTGGATCAGACCACCTAGGCGAGTTTCCATGACAACCAGTGTCAGGACGGGCCCTGGTTTCCCACTTCCCTTCAGAACTTGTCCTGTGGGTTTGTGGGGCCCTCCTCACTGCTGCCAGAGAAGACAGTATTCAGCATAGCACAAGTACCACTTCTAAGTAGCACTCATTCTGCACTCAAAGCTTGCTTCGTGTACAGTTTGTACAGCCATGACTGTGGCCTTGAGGCAAGGACCTTCTCCGCTGTCTTGTCTTCCCAGCCCCGTGACTAATTTTTTTTTTGTGTCACACCCGGTGATGCACAGGGGTTACTCCTGGTTCATGCACTCAGGAATTACTCCTGGTGGTGCTTAGGGGACCCTATGGGATGCTGGGAATCGAACCCGGGTCGGCCGAGTGCAAGGCAAACGCCCTACCCGCTGTGCTATCACTCCAGCCCCCACCCGTGACTAATTCTTACTGAAGCAAGATGGAGCCACGTAAGAGCCCTTAGCACTGCCGGCCCAGCCTCAGGCCTGACTTCCTTCCACAGCTCTTCAAAGCCATGAAGAGCTAGGACAGGGGAAGGCAGGGCCCTGCCCGCAGCCCGCCAGTTCCATCCTTAGCACCTCCTGTGATCCCTGAGCACATCTGGAGGCACCTTGGGGTTCCTGTGGCCTTGGGGCTGAAGGGACACTCTTGGGGGTGCTCAGGATGCAGTACTCAGCTGGAGAACAGGGCCTCGCCCCCTGAGCCACCTTCCTGGTCTCGCCCCCCCTCTGCTGGGCACTCACAGGAGAGACCCCTGCACACTAGCCCCTCACCCGCAGCAGAAACAGGCAACTGGCCGCAGCCCACCAACTCAGGGTGGTGGAAACCTCCCTCCTGAGTCCCCTTTTTCACATGCCACAGTCTGTTTCCTGAAAACTACAGCAGCATGGATGGACGCAGAGGGGGCACTCGCCTTGCCTGTGCTGTCCCCTGATGCCCAGTGGGCACTCAGCTGTGGCTGTACTTACCCTTTGGCCAGTGTCGCGATGCCCACATCAGTCAGCTTCATCCCGACCCCTGGGAGGAGAGAAATGCAGAGCCCCGTGACTGGGGTGCATGGGGGGCCCATGACTGGGGCGTATGGGGGGCCCAGTAACTCGGGTGTAAGGGGGTCCAGTAACTGGGGTGTATGAAGGCCCTGTGACTGGGGTTTATGGGGGCCCCGTGACTGGGGTGTATGAGGACCCAGTGACTGGGATATATGGGGGCCCAGTGAACTGAGTTGTATGGGGACCCAGTGACCGGGGTGTATGGGGGTCCCATGACTGGGTTCATGGAGGACCCCATGACTGGGGTATATGAGGACCCAGTGACTGGGGTGTATGGAGGCTCAGTGACTGGGGTGTGTTGGGATCCCAGTGACCGGGGTGTGTTGGGGGCACTGGCAGTATCTTTGCAGGGTGCAGTGGTGCCCAGAATCTGTCCCTACAGAACCCCCCTCCCCCTCACATGGAGTGCCTGGGATTCTTAAAACCCAGCAGGGCTCGTGCAAGTGAACCTGGGGGCTGCCACCAGATCCGTGCAATCAAATGGCACGACCTCTGGGTAGGGCTGGTCATCCTCAGTCCCTCCCTAGGCCCAAGTCTGACCTCTGCCCCCCTGGGTCCACCGAGTGTAGCTCTGACCAGGTCTCAGAGAGGGGGAAGGTGGCACTTAGACCTGTCTGGAGCTCACATCCAGTCCCCAGGGGGCCTGCTGCCAGGGTCAGCCGCCTGACCCAGGGGTGCCTGCTGGTGTAGAGCTGGTGTAGAGTCCGCTGGGTGCAGCGGGACCAATGCACAGACCAACAGCAATTCCAGGGCCCCTGGGAGCCCGGGGCGGGAGCTGTTGGTTGGGTTGAGCCGGGAGTCCTTCGAGCCTCTCGCTCGGTCACATCCTCTTCCCGAGCTCTGCTGGTTAGAGCAGCAGTAGGGACTTCCTACAGCTTTGATCACACGGAGGGAGCTGGAGCACTCACCTGGCATAGATGCATCCTTGAACCGCATTGTCCCCTGAGCACTGACCCAGGAGTAGCTCCTGAGCACCACTTGGTGCAAAAGCACAGAGCCGAAAACTTTTTTTTCAAACCCTTTTGGGTCACACCCAGTGATGCTCAGTGGTTATTCATTGGCTCCGCGTTCAGGAATTACTCCTGGCAGTGCTTGGGGGACCAAATGGGATGCTGGGAATTGAACCCGGGTCGGCCGCGTGCAAAGCAAATGCCCTTCCTGCTGTACTATCACTCCGGCCCCCAAAAACAATTTTTAAAAAAGGACACTGGATCACAAAAGTTCCTCTTTGGCATCTTGCCTTGGGCACTGTTGTTATAGAATCGTGGCTTTAAGCTACACACACACACACACACACACACACACACACACACACACACACACATCATCCACTTGTTTGTTTGTTTGTTTGCTGGTTTGGGGGCCACACCTGGTAGTGCTCAGGGCTTATTCCTGGCTCTGAACTCAGAGATCACTCCTGCTGGGGCTCAGGGGACTAGAGGGGATGCTGGGGATTAAAGCTGGGTTGGCTGCTTACAAGGCAAAGCCCTAACCACTGTACTATCTCTCTGGCCCTGTGATGTCCACTTTTAATTTGTGTGGCAGAGGGCCCGTGGACTTCGGGGACTGTTTAACTTCTAGTTCATTATCACCCGGTGTCACTGCTACTCATATGGAGAGACTCTGGGCACCGGGGAGCCGGCCCAGCACACCATCTGGCCCGCACTCTGACACGTAGGGGTCTGGGTTTGATCTCCAGCACCATATGAGCCCCTGCGATAATGCCTAGAGTAGCCCCAGCAAACACAAAACAAACAAACCCCAAAACCCAACAACAAACAGAGACAGTCATTTTTCCTAGGAAGCTTCTCCATTTAGTAATCTGCCAGCAGCCTAGCGAGGTCACTGAGGGCATGATGGGCTCCTGTGGGCAGCCCCAGTCCGTGCTAAGAATCATGCACGGGGCGTTTCAGGGGGAGAGTCTGGGGAGGGAGGTGTCTATATTTGCCCCCCCCCCCCCCGTCTAGGATTTTCAATCCTCGTGTCTGGGGGATATGATAAAACCAGGAGGTTGTCTAGCCAAGGGGTGAACACTCTCGTGCTCCAGGGTGCCAGTCCCTGGCTTTCCCAGCAACAGCGGCAGCCTGGAGCTTGCAAGTTAGGGAATGGTGCTGTTCGTCCAAATGCACCCATGGTTCGTCCAAACGCACCCATGGTTCACAGCACAAGCTGACTTCCGCCCTGATGGCCTGGCCAGCCCCTGGAGGAGGAACCAGCTGCACGCGGTGGGCGGGAGCAGCTACTCAGGAGAAGGGATTTCTATGCAAAATTCACTCTGGAAGAGAAAGTGGGGGCAGTGACCAATCACACCACTTCTGGGCTGTAAAGGGAACAGCTGTCTGAGCAGCTGTCCCTGTTGTTGTTGTTGTTGGTGGTGGTGGTGGTGGTGGTGGTGTGTGTGTGTGTGTGTGTGTGTGTGTGTGTGTGTGTGTGTAAGTCCCCAGAGGCAGGGAGGGGCCACGGCTCTAATAGGAACAGCTGTCTGAGCAGCTGCCCCTGCTGCTGGCGGTGGTGGTGGTGGTCGTGGTGGTGGTGGTGTGTGTGTGTGTGTGTGTGTGAGAGAGAGAGAGAGAGAGAGAGAGAGAGAGAGAGAGAGAGAGAGAGAGAGAGAAAGTCCCTAGAAGCAGGGGGGAGTCACGGCTGCTTTCGTGACAGTAACACCAAGACAGTAACCACCAAGCTGCTCAGCTGGCTGTGGAGGGGTGACCCAACAGGAGCCCTGACACAGCAGGAGCTACCGGCAAGTCTCTTGCTGGTGGGGGCATTTGGCACTGAGTGGAAAGAGCCTGGGGTTTGGAATCAGCAACGTGATTGGGGTCTTAGAGGCTGAGGGACAGCAACCAATCCCAGCTTGGCCCCTGGACTGCTGTTTTCTCACCTGTAGATGAGGGCCAGGGGAGATTTAGAGCTTCTTTGCAGACTTAAAACAAAAGTCCAAGTCAAGACAGTGGCTCCCTCGAGATACGTACTAGGAGGTTTACTCCATGGCTCAGAGGCCAGCCACACATGCTAAGGGAAAAGGCAGCACAGATAGAGAAGGGAGCACCAAGTAAAGGGTGTTGGGAGTATCCTCCCAGGATGGGAGAAGTATGCTGAAAGTAGACTATAGACCAAACATGATTGAAACCCAATGCCTCTTTTGCAAACCACAACACCCAATAGGAGAGAGAGAACAAAAGGGAGTGCCCTGCCACAGAGGCAGGGTGGGACAGGGGGTTGGGGAGGATGGGGGGTGGGAGGGATACTGGGACCCGTGGTGGTGGGAAATGGGCACTGGTGGAGGGATGGGTACTCGATCATTGTATAATTGAAACCCAAGCACAAAAATTTGTAAGTCTACAACTGTACCTCTTGGTTTGTCACTAATAAACATTTTTTAAAAATAAAAAAAAAGACAGTAACTCCCTGGTAAAGGGCATGCTCTGCATTAGCGTGAGATCTGGGTTTGAACACTGGCACTGACAAAGAAAAATTACAGAAAAGTAACAAGAGTAGAAATGAGAGTGGAGATGACAGGGAGTAGAACCCAAGTGTGAGTATGGTGAGTGTCCTGGAAATGGGCCAGAGTTGACAGGAAGTGGAACCCGAGTGTGGGTCTGGAGTGCAACGCAGCCAGTGTCCAGGTTTGGGGCAGGTTCTGGAGTTCTGGGAGCTGCTATGGTGAGCAGGTGAAAGGGACCAGGTTCTGCGTGTTTGTGCAAATTCTGGCATCTTCAGTTATTTCACAATATTTAAAAGCAAGGGAGGACAGACCCCTCACCAGGCTGAGTCTCATATCTGGGACACCCCAAGGGGCAGGGGGTTGAGTCCCCCACCTGCCCCAACAGAGCCCCAGCAGTCTAAAACTTTCCAGAACCCAGTCGCTCACAGCCAATTTCCACAGGCTCTGATGAACATCATCCAGGAATAAATCTGCTGAAAAACTCAAGTATGCAGGTTTTGTGATGAAAATCTCCAGGCTCCCATGGAGTCGGGGATGGGCGACCTCCCCCCATCTCCCTGTTCTTCCAGGAGCCTGGCAGTCACACCCACGAATTGCCTCAGGTACCATATAAGCTCATTAACTGGCCATGATTCAGAGACTCACAAATAAATCTCAGAAAAGATCCAGAAACCTGGAGAGATGTCTCCAGAACCCAAAGTCACCATCCAGCTACGAATCTAACTCCAGCTGTATCACCCCATTCAAAATTTTAGAATTCCTGGAGCACACGGCTGCATTTGTGGCTGTAACATCTCATACCCTACACCACTGATAGACCAGGAGAAGCACAAGCCTTAACCTGTAACAACATGTTAGTAATCTCTTATACAAGGGCTTAATGGCTCCTGGTGAGATACAACAATCTTCACACCCTTTCTTTTAAGGAAATTTTTTGGATCACTTTTAGCAATTAGTCACAATAAGCAAGACAAAAATAAATCATTTTAGGGTCTGCTATTGGGGTAGGCTTGGGGGTGGTTGGGAAAATTGGAAATAATGGTGGTGGGAAGGTGTAACAGTGGTGGAACTGGTGTTGGAATATTGAGTGCAATAAATCATGTGAAGAACTTTATAAAAATAAAAAGGGGAGAGATGTGTTTAGTATGAGTCAAAGCCCCATGTTACAGCCACATCCAACACACAGAGGCACCAAGAGGGAAGTCACTGGTGCAGGCTGTGGGACTGTGGGGGCGTGGGGGTGCAGAATCCGAGGACTTCTGCTCTTCACCACTGGGCCAGAGAAGAGACAGCCAGGGGTCCCCCCACACGACGCCAGCAGGCACTCCGTTCCCCCGTGCAATCACAGTGCAGGCATTACCATTTAGAAAGGAAGAAGGAAAAGGCCAAAAAGGGTACAGCGAGTGTCCTGTCCATGTCCTCACCCTAAACATGACACGCTGTGGCCCCACCTCTAGGATCAGCACTTTCTGTTCCTCCCTCCGAGTGTTCCTGGCTTGCAGTGACCTGCTTTGCTCAGTGTAGGTGGCAGGTGACAGGTAGCGAAGGGGACGCCTCTGGGAGGAGCAGCCTGCCCCGAGAGGAACTCCAAGGGGCTGCTGCCTCACTGCCTCTGTCTCTTCACCCTGCCACTCATTCTGGCAGAAATGAGCGTTAGTGGCCTGTCGGGTAACGGGCTGGACCCAGTCCCACTCCTTGTCACCCAGTGGGATCCCCTCTCAAAGCACCTGTAACTGCGTGTGTGTGGTCAGGAGAGGATTAGCCTTTCTGAAGTCCAGTTCCATCCTCACCCAACTCGCAGGGAGACGGGGACAGTAACAGAATGCCAGCCTGCTACAACTGGCGCTGTCCACATGGGATCTGGTCCATGGGACGTCCACTGGGCCTCTGTATCTAGAGGCCCAGGGTCTGTATCAAAGGTCATGCCTAGATAGCGCCCCCTGTTAGAAACGCAGCACACCTGGGCCCCGGGGAGCTTCCCTGGCTGGCGGGACTCCCTGAGCACTGCCTCCGGTTATTGCCGGAGAAAGTTGCCCACACAGACACTCCAGAAGGGACTGGAAGCTTCCACCCAGGCTCCTCTGACAACCAGAGCATGGATCCTCTCCCTGCTATAGTGGTGCATTTTCCTCTCAGTAACTTTGTAAGAATGACTGTCCTATTACTCCATGGCTGGCAGCCAGCCTCAGGAGCTGGGGGAGAAGGCAGCTGGGATAGAGGAGGGATCACTAGGTCAATGGTGGTTGGAGGGATTGCTCAGGATGGGAGATGTGTGTTGAAAGTAGACAAAGGACCAAACATGATGGCCTCTCTCAGTATCTGTATTGCAAACCATGATGCCCAAAGGTAGAGAGAGAGAGAGAGAGAGAGAGAGAGAGAGAGAGAGAGAGAGAGAGAGAGAGAGTATGAGAGTATGGGGGAAACTGTCTGCCATAGAGGCAGGGGAAGGATTGGGATGGGGGTGATACTGGGGACATTAGTGGTGGAAAATGTGAACTGATGGAGGGATGGGTGTTTGATCATTGTGTGACTGAAACTCAAACATGAAAGCTTTGTAACACAGTGATTCAATCAAAAAAAATTTTTAAATAAAATCCAACTGTATTAAAAAATAAAAGAATGTTTTGAGTTCTGTGAATCTTTCCAGCAAATGACTGGATCAGAGTGTGTTTCTTCAAGGATCTGCCCCCTACCACGAGGCCCTAATCTCAGGACATCCCCCATTTCATGCCTATTCCTACACATTTGTGGCAGAGAGAAAGCAGGCTGGAAATTCACCAATGTACTTGAAACCCAATGCGTGCAAAGCGCCCATTAAGAATGAATTTTTACACCTTAATTTCTCTAAGGGCATATCTGCATTTCATCTCTGCCTCTGAATTTGTGCCCATGGAGGATATAATAATAAATCTAGCATTGGGTTTCCTGTTTTGATTCTTCCATCCCTCTCGGAGAACCTGGCAAGCTACTGAGAGTATCCTGCTCACGCGGCAAAGCCTGGAAAGCTACCCATTTGATATGCCAAATACAATAACAAGTCTCACAATGGAGACATTACTGCTGCCCGCTCGAGCAAACTGATGAACAACGAGAGGACAGTGCTACAGTTGGTTTCCTGTTGTGATGGGAAGGTATACACTTGCCATTAACGCCACTGTACTTTGTGGCTTCCTTGGGCTGGCCATTGTTCCATGATCACTCCTTGAATCTGATGAGACATCAGTAACACCTTCTGTTGGCAAAAATGCAAAAGGCACCCACATCCCTCTAGACCCTGCCCTCCCCATCCCTGGGCCCATGACCCCGTGGTCCCCTGGCAGACAGTGGCTGCTCGCCTCACCCTGCATGTCCGTGACCAGCAGGCAGCCGCCGGTCTTCTGGTAGACCCAGTGCTGGAAGGTGCAGCATTTCTGACCAGCTTCCGAGTCTCTTCTCAAGAAGTTGATTTCCTTCCCGTCCCTCATGGAATACTTGACAAATTCCCCGATCAGCTCCTCCTCCACGGTCGCATACGGGATGTTGTTCTCAGGTCGGTGGATAAGAAAAATAGGAATGATCCTGGGAGGAAAGGAAATAGAGAGCATACAGGTTCTCAGCGGGGGGAGTAAGGACTGGATGGGGGCAGTTTGCTCTCATCTGGGGGGCAGAACAAACCCACTAGATCTAGACTAAGATCCCACATGATTATTCGGTTATTCAGTGGGTGAAAGAGCGTGCTCCTGATTTTCATTTGATCCTAAATTCGGTCAGACTCTCTGCCTTGAAATGGAGTTTATACAGGCATGAAGAAATGAATGATGGAGAGGCTGGAGCAATAGTACACTGGGTAGGGCGTTTGTCTGGCACACGGCCGACCCTGGTTCAATTTCCAGCATCCCATATGGTCCCCCGAGCACTGCCAGGAGCAATTCCTGAGTGCAGAGCCAGGAATAACCCCTGTGCATCGCTGGGTGTGACCCAAAAAGCAAAAAAAAAAAAAAAAAAAAAAAAGAAAAGAAAAGATCATTGTATAATTGAAACCCAAGCACAAAAATTTGTAAGTCTACAACTGTACCTCATGGTGTTTCACTAATAAAAATTAAAAAATAAAAAAAGAAAGAAATGAATGATGGACTGGGGCTATTGCTCTTCAGCAGGTAGGAAGTTTGCCTTGCAGGGGGCCAACTCGGGTTTGATCCCCAGCACTGGGTTTGAGCCCACCAGGAGTAAGTTCTAAGCATAGCCAACTGTGGCCGCAAAAGAAACAAACCAACGAAAAGAAACGAATGTCTCATTGTAGTTATTCTCAGTCCCCCACTGGCAGGTGACTGTAACTTCCCCATCCACCATCGAGCCAATATTCCATTCATCTTCCCATCCCTCCTTCCTCCCGTACCTCCCTCTTTCCTTCCTTCTACCCCATTCATACTTCCTTCCTTCTGTGCTCAGGGAGATATTATATTGTTGCTATTGTTTGGGGGCCACACTCCTAGCTCTGTGCCAAGGGATCCGTTCTGTCTGGACTTGGGGACCATATGGAGTGCCGGGGATCAAACCTGGGTTGGCCAGGTGCAAGGCAAGAGCCTTGCCTGCTGTATTACTGCTTTGCTCCCGATAACCATTCCTTCTACCTCCTTCCCCACAACTCCTTCTATCCTGCTCTCCATCCCTTCTTCCTTAAATCTTCCTTCTTCCTTCCTTTCTTCCTTCCTCTCTTCCTTCTATCCCTCCTTTCTCCTGTATCTCATTCCTTCTCTCTTCCTTCCATTCCTTCTTTATTCCATTTGTCCACCTTTCCTTCTTTCCATCCCCCTTCCTTCTACTTCTCCATCCTTCTATCTACCCATCTGTTCTCCATCCACTCTTCCTCCCATCCTTTCCTTCCTTCCTTCTACTCCTTCACTCCTTTCTCCTTCTATCTGCTTTCCATCCGTCCTTCTATCTTCCATCCCTTCTTATTTCTAAATGCTCCCTATACTCTATTCTTTTCCCTTCCTTCCTTCTATTCTTTCCCTCCATCTCTCCTTTCCATCCATCCATCCATCCATCCATTTATCCATCCATCACCCTTCCTTCCATTCCTGCTCTCTCTCATGCAGAGTAGCTGGCAATATGTTTTTAAAATCTGAAAATAGGCTCTGGGAAAGGTCTGAGAGGCTGGTGCTGTCGTGGGATTCCCCAGTGTCCCAGTAATGACCATGGCGGAGCTGCCTGTGGGTGAGCATTTTGCCATTTTGTGAATTAATGAGGACGATGTGACAACTCCTTTCTAGATGTCCCAGTTTTTAATGAGATGTGAAATCTCAATGAGTGCAGGACCACTCACTCACATATGCGCTCAGTCAAGTAAACAATCCCACATTCTGGGCACCTAAGTATTTCCTTGGCTCAACAGATATTTAACCAATGAGTAGATGACAGTAACCAATGTTTCCTACCTCAGCAGGATTCCAGAGGTCGGTACTCTGCCCCTCTTTTGCTGGTCTCTCAAGCCCCTCTCCCCTAGCAGTGCATGGTGTCTTATGCTCATCATAGGACCAAGAGTCTGTAACCGTCCCACATTCTCTATATCTTCTCTTTGGCTAGGTAACGTGATACCGACAAAGACAGATGCCTGTTCTTTTCTTTCTTTTTTAAACTTACTCTTCAAGAGCTGTCCTTATACTATAGTTATTCTTTGCTATTTCATATGCTATCTAATAACACCATTTATTTAAGCCATCCAGTCACCCACCCCTCCAGGCACACAGGCATCCATTAAAGTGCATCGTAACTTTCTATAAGCGTTGCTGACCAGCATTCTTGGCCACCATCCCCGTCCACATGGGGCTCACAAAGACAGTGATTGAAACGTGGCCCTCGTGCCTTTTGTCCTCCCTCTCAGCACCCATGGCCCCGCCAGGCTGGCAGTGGAGACACACAGCAGGTCGACACTCACTCTGGCACCTCCCCAAAGCCTTCCAGAGGCTGAGCTTCCGCCGCGTAGATCTGGGCATAGTGCCTGGCTGTATTCTGGACGTAGCATTCCTGGAGCAGGGAAACACAGGGGCGGTCCATGTGATGAGAAGAAGGTCAGAGAATGTCCAGTGACGCTCAATAATCAGACGCCCTGATGTGTGTCAGGCCAACAGCAACTTCCTACGTACCCAACAGCTGTGACCCTGACCACCTGGGCCTGGGGCATGCCCAGGATCCCTGACCTGGAAGGAACTTTCCGAGAGAAGGTCAGTGGTCTTGAGCCACTGAACTGTAAGGACTTCAGAACCACAGTCAGCGGCCAGCAGCGCACCTGGCCCCTCCCCAGGACTAGTCTTTGGGCAGGACTGCAGGTAAAATTCAGGCCCTAGCAATTTCCCAAGATGCTCCCATCTCTGTCCTTCAAAGGAGTGATTTGTGTCAAGGCTGCCACGGCTGTTGGATATTTTCCTCCTCAGGTGCTGAGGAGGCCCAGGGCTGACAATGCTATTCTCTGCCCCCACTGGCAGGTGATGCTGGGATTCATGAGGTGCAGGTGACGGAACCCAGTCGGACACAGGACAGGCCTGTGTGCTAAAGGCTGAACTGGATCTCCCAGGCTGAGAAGCGGACTCAGGGCTGACCTCGCCAATCCTTCGCAGGGCTCTTCCCAATGAGAGCCTAGAGGCTGGCCTGGACACACGCCGGGCAAGGGGAGGAGGAGGAAGAAGGACTGGTCTGGACAAGCCAGGAGGAGACCCAAGGAAGAGCTGCCCGCCGAGGGCCAGTCCCACCCAAGGGGGAGACCCTGAGAGGCAGACCCCTAGGCTATACCCCACCTGCCAGAGGTCACCCAGCCTGAGCAAGGACAAGGAAGTTCCCAAGTTCCCTGGAGGACTGGAACTTCCTTGTCCTTGGGGTCCGGGGGCACGGCAAGGGCTGCTCTCACCCTGCAGGTCCTTCTGGCTCCTCAAAAGACTGAAAGGCCCAGGCCAGGGTCAGGAGGCAGCGACAGCAATAGTGAGGAGCTGAGGTTATTCTCCTTGCGGGGCTCCAGGCCAGCTGGACCCCAGCTTGGAGCCTCCAAAACAACACTTGGGAAACTCCTTGCCCTCTCAGACCCTCCCAGTCCATGCCCCACTCCCAGACACGCCCCTGCCATCCCAGACACCTCCTGGGAACAGAGGCAGATCCGGGTGGGTGAGCACGGTGCGAGGCCTGGGACACTGGGTGGGTCCTAAGTGGCGGGCCTGAGGTCCTGACTCCCCGGAGCAAGAGGGGATCCCCCCCTCCCCCAGCGGCTCCCCTGTCCCCGCACCGCGCACGCGCGCGCACCTGGGCGGCGAGTTTGTAGTTGCGCTGGACCAACTCGTCGTTGCTTCTGGTCCCGTAGGCCACGGCATTGTGCACCTTGAGCACGCACGCGTGGCCGGGCTGGAAGACGGGCGGGAGGCCGTGCAGGACGCGGCTGCGGAAGGCCTTGCGGTGCACGCCCTCGCCGAAGTGCCGCGCCTCGGTGGCGATGCGGCCGCGCACGTGCGCCCCGAAGTAGCTGTCGCGCAGGAAGTCCTCTCGGAAGAGGAGCTGGCTGAACTCGATCTCCTCGCACCCTGCATGCAACGGAATGCCCCGGCTCGGCCCGCTGCCCTGGTCACCTCCACGAGGCCCAGCACCCAAGCACTCCCCTGCAGGGAACCTCCTTAGCTTACCACCCCTGAAAACTGCACACCCCCCACCACTGAATTTTAATCTGATCCATTATCTCATTTGATTTGGGGGTTTGGTTTTGGAGAACCACTTGGCAGTGCTCAGGGATTACTCCTGACTCTGTGCTCAGGGGTCACTCCTGGTAGGGTTCAGGAGACCCTAGACAGTGCCTGGGACTGAACCAAGGGCAGCTGCATGCGAAGCAAGCACCTTGCCCCCTGCTCCGTCTCTCCGCCCTCCCCCTGGGGAATTTTATTTTATTTTTTTTGCTTTTTGGGTCACACTTGGCTATGCACCGGGGTTACTCCTGGCTCTGCACTCAGGAATTAACTCCTGGCGGTGCTCGGGGGACCATATGGGATGCTGGGAATTGAACCCCGGTCGGCTGCATGCAAGGCAAATGCCCTACCAGCTGTGCTATCGCTCCAGCACCCCCCACCCCCGGGACTTTTAATATAAGTGTATCCTCTCTCTTGCTATGTTGTTTATAACTGTGCTGTGTTCACCAGAGGGCTGCTGAGGTTGGAAACAGCCGTACACTTCAAGGCTGAACACAGGTGTGCCTCTCTGCATAGAGAAAGGAACGGGGCTCCCTCCTGAAGATTCCACTGCCCGGTTTTCAGTTGAGAATTTTTAAAGGAATATTTTTCTTTTCATTTAAAAACACTTTCAAATTAGATGTTTTTAAAGAAAAGTTGATGATTAATGCAAGGCACTAGGCTATAAGGACTGAAACTATCCTTAAAGGGTATTGATTAATATCGAGGCTTAGCTATGGCAAACAAGGAAGAAAGGAGCAGAAGAGGGAAAAGGGAAGGAAGGAGAGAGGGAAGGTAGAGAAGGATGAAGGAAGGGCGGGAGGGAAGGAGAAAGGGGAGGAAGGAGAGAAAAGGCAGATGGGGGAAGGAAAGTGGGAAGGAAAGTGGGAAGGAAAGAAGGGGAAGGGAAGGAGGAAGGAAGGAAAGAAGGAAGGGAGGGAGGGAGGGAGGGAAGGAGGGAGGGAGGGAGGGAGGGAAGAAGGAAGGAAGGAGTTGTTGGAAGGAAAAAAGAAGGAAGGAAGAAAGGAAGGGAGGGAGGGAGGGAGGAAGGAAGGAAGGAAGGAAGGAAGGAAGGAAGGAAGGAAGGAAGGAAAGAGCTCTATAGTTGCTTTTTAAAATGTGACATGTAAGGGGTTCTGAGAGATACATAATAACAGCAAGTTAGGTGTTTGTCTGACATATGGCCAACTTGGGTTCAATTTCAGGCATCCTATAAGGTCCTCTGAGCACTTCCAGAAGTAATTCCTGTGCTCACTGCCAGAGTTACCTCAAAGCATCATTAGGTGTAGTAATGATAAATTTAAAAAAATGTTTTTAAAGTTACATTTAAAAGCTAGATAACCAAAGGGAGGGTGTTTTTTTTTTTTTTTGGCTTTTTGGGTCACACCCGGCGATGCACAGGGGTCACTCCTGGCTCATGCACTCAGGAATCACTCCTGGTGGTGCTCGAGGGAACATATGGGATGCGGGGAATCGAACCTTGGTCGGCCATATGCAAGGCAAAAGCCCTACCCGCTGTGCTATTGCTCCAGCCCTGGGTGTTTTGTTTGTTTTTTTAAAAAAAATAGAGCCCAAATGTTCTCAATTCAAGTTTCATGATTAATTTCAACAACTTGACCCCTACCAGCACTTCCAGATTATAGAAATATAAATATATAAACTATGGGCTAGATCAACTGTACAGCAGATAGGGGGCTCACCTTGCAAACAGCCCACCCAGGTTAGATCCCCGGCACCAAATATGGTCCCCCGAGTCCCAACAGGAGTGATCCCTGAGTACAGCTGGGTGTGGCCCCAAAACGTGTGTGTGTGTGTGTGTGTGTGTGTGTGTGTGTGTGTGTGTGTATTTTTCCACGATGGATCCCAGAGCTCAATCAGCAGGAGCTTAATTTGCTACACCTGTTCTGTTCTTCCTGGCCCATTTCTCAGGTCAGCTACACAGGTACTTTCGGCTGGAAAACGCTTGCAACTTAATGAACAAAAGTCCAGCGTTGCTCTAGACTGTGCCTAGAGCTGGGAAGGAAGCCGTTTCGTCCTACCCTGTAGGCAATGCACTGCACAAGGCTGTGCCTGATTTCCAACCGAGCACCTGCTGAGCAAAGATAAGGCGACAGAAGCAGCGGCTCCGACTCGGGCATGCCTGCAGGTGCCAGGCCAGCTGGGCTTTCCCTGAATCCTCATTCAAGTGGGGCCTTGCTTTGTTTTATTCTTAATTAGAGACAAACTTTGCACAACACCATTTGTTCCTCCTCTAGGGAATGAAGTGAAGGGAATGTTCAGGGAAAGGGATGCCGCTCGCTGGAGGGACAGGCACCCAAAGCCTTCCCATCAGAGATGTGGGCGAACCAAGGGGTCCCCAGGAGGCTTCTAGGCAACGTGCAGAGCCTCCCGCCTTTCCCCCAAGAGGGACGAACCGCAAATCTGACGCTTCTAAGCCAAAGCGTAACTGCAAATCCCCTTCCCAGTGCTCCACAGGGGCACGTAAGAGCCCGTTCTCTTTGTAAGTGACACATTCTGGAAGGTCTTAGCTCCACGGATTCACAGCTAAGGGGGCCTTGCACACACTCGGCCTTCCTCCCATCATTCCTGAGCTATCTTGTGCCGCAACCCAGGGGCGCTTACTTTTAACATCCGGGCAGCTGGAGAGCTCTTGCAGGACTAGAAGACAAAGGCGAGAGGCCGTCAGTGCAGGGCAGGGGCGAGGCGGGCGCGGGTGGAGGTTTCCCCTCCAGCAAGGACCCACGTGTTACCTTGCGTAGGGGCCCGTGTTACCTTGTGCAGTGAGGTTAAATTCCGCCGTCGCTTTCCCGAAGCTGTTGTTGAGGCAGCAGTAATAGAGGCCCTGGTCCTTCGGACTGGCTTGCACGATGGCCAAGGACACCGTGGAGTTGTCCCCTGCTCTGCAATGAAGGATATTCACGTTTGCGCGCCGGGTCATGCTGTCTGGGGTGCGTGGTGAGAGGATCGCTCCTGCTCCGAGGACACCAGCCAGGCCCGTGTGCTTCTTCCTTCCTCAGTCACGTGAGGAGTGCAGCCCCACAGAACCTCTTCGTTCTACTGCACACTTGGAAGGCAGACGCCCCGGCGAAAGCAGGAGCAGGCAGCATTTAGGGACATTGTTAGCCTTTCTGCTGGGCTTCACCTTGATGATCCAACTCATCCAGGTGTCCTGCACTTGTCTTTTTTTTTCATGTTTGGGTCAAACCGACAATGCACAGGGGTTACTCCTGGCTTTGCACTCAGGAATTACTCCTGGCGATGCTTGGGGGGCCATATGGGATGCTGGGAATCGAACCTCGGTTGGCTGCGTGCAAGGCAAAAACGCTCCCACTGTACTATTGCTTCAGGTCCTGTCCTGCACTTGAAGTAAACCTGGGAACTCCAACCCCACTTTTTTTTTTGCTTTTTGGGTCACATCTGGCATTGCACAGGGGTTATTCCTGGCTCATGCACTCAGGAATTACTCCTAGTGGTGCTCAGGGGACCTATGGGATGTTGGGAATCAAACCTGGGTTGGCCACGTGCAAGGCAAATACCCTACCCGCTGTGCTATCGCTCCACCCCCTCCAACCCCACTTTTAAGCACAGATACAACAGGGAAAAGGAATTTTTCTTCTACATAGAAGAACTCATGGCTGGGGGCGCTGTAAAGCCGTGTTCTCTACTAGGGAATATGGTCCCCATCTGTCCATTCATCATCCACCATCTACCATCCATACATTCATCCACACCCACCCATCCATTCACAATCTAACCATTCATCCATTCATTCACATCCATCCATTCACCTATCCATCCACTATTTAACCAGCCATCTATCCATCCACGTCTATCATTGTCTAACCACTCACCCACATCCATCCACACCCATCCATCCACTATGTAACCATTCAGCCACCCACCCACCCACCCATCCACTCATCCATCCACTCTCTATACATTCATCCACATCCATCCATCCACCACATAACCATAATCCATCCATCAATCTCCCTTTTAACCATCCATCCATCCATCCATCCATCCACTCCCATCCAGCCAGCCCATCATCCACCTACACACGTCTATCTATGCATCCATCCACCAGCCAACCAACCAGCCAGCCAATCCCTCCCTTCACTGTCCTGCCAGCATCAGCCACTTTATTTGGAGTCAAGCACTGTGCTCTGAGAGATAACGAGCAGCAGAGACAGTGGCAAAAGCAGATGTGCACTGAGCACGTGGCATATACCCAGCCCTGTGATCACCAAAAATAAAAGTCTATTTTGTGGAGTTCATGCCGAATTCAAACAGCCTCATCAATGGCTGAATAAATAGCTGTACTCCTACATTATTTTGTTTAAAAAGTCTATTTTGAGTCTTCCTCAGGACGTCATATTGAGAGGGATGCTCACTTTCCCCATGCCCTCCCCTTTATGCAATTTTCACCTGGAGTCACCTTGAACTAACTTATGGCCCAGGATGAGAGATGCTACACCAGTGTCCAGTTTTCTTCCCCTGAAGGCCAGCACCTGTCCTGCACACAGGCACGGAGACCGGTGGATTCTAACCTCTCTGCATCTGCAGGTCTATGCCGGTCCCTGGACCAGCAGTTCCCCTAGAGCACTGACCAGCCCTGCGTCAATGAGCAGAAAAGGATCGCAGCATCCTTTGGCATCTTGATGATAAAAAAAAAGTTCCTCGAGCATTCCTCATAACTGCTTCCTCATCATTACTGGACACCTCTACTGCATGTCCACAGTACACTGGAGAGAGTTCCATCCTTCACACATAGATTCCTGACAATGCAGGATGGATGTGTTCAAGGAATAGTCAACTGGAGTGAGCAGTGAAACACAGCATTCTACGCCCATTCTTTCTCCTCCCCGACAACTCATAGAAATGATTTCCGCACTCCAAGGAGTCACGACACCCCCAATCTTCTCAAGGTTTGACATAAAGAAGGTAAAGAAGGTAAGTTGTCAAGTTCAAGAGACCTTGCTTGACTGAAAAGTCAAGTCATTTCTTCTCCACCCTCCTAATAATTCTTTCCTCTTCCTCTTCTTTTCTTGGAATCACTCCCGGTGGGGCTTGGGGGACCACATGGGGTGCCGGGGTTTAAATCTGGGTCAGCCGTGTGCAAGGCAAGTGCCCTCCTGTGTCCCATGTCTCTGGTTATGTGACTCTTCTTAATTTATGGGCACACGACCAGCCGGGCGAGGCTGCCTCGGGCAAACAGCCTCACTAGCTCCATCTCTATGCCAGCGTCTTCTGCTCTGACCTTTCAGAAATAACTGTGAACCTCGGGGCTGCATCCGGGCAGCGGTTCCCAACAGATGTGTTTGGTCCAGTTGTTCAGAAAACATTCCTGCTTTCTCTACCTACTTCCGGTGGCTAAGGGTGTCAGGAACAGAGGCCTGCCCTTCCTGGACTTGGGGGAATAGAGAGCCCCGAGTTAGGTTAGGAAGGAGTGTGGCGGGATGGTTTGCTTGGCACGGGTCTTCTTCTCACCGGTGACCCTGTGCCTAGAATAAACTGCCCCTTCTCAGATGTGGGGATGGTGCTCGAGTTCCCGTCACTGGTGGAGTATTCACCAGGGACTGTGGGGGGCTCTGGGGGGCACCCTCAGGCTTTTTTCACATTGGGGGTCTTCGCAACAGCCTCCCACAGTCCCCCCACTATGCTCCTCTTCTCTAAGAGGCGAGGACCCTAGAAACAGCCTGGATTTTCCCTCAGGGGTGGGCGGCTGCTCCCTGCCCTGTCACCCATACATGGATCTTCCCTTGGGTGCGCCTTCCTGGGTTTGCGGCCTCGCGGTTTATGGGCATTGACTAAACAGAACAGGCCACAGGGAGGCGCGCTGCAGAGAGCCCTCTCTGGTCCGGGCCGCAGAGCCTCACGGGAGAACCTGGGACACTCCCCTGGTTATGAACTTGCATGAAAGGTCTTGGGGCTGCCCTGTCACAGAGGTAAGGTGGGATGGGAGGATGGGGAGAGGGAGGGATACTGGAACTGGTGGTGGTGGAGAATGGGCACTGGTGGAGGGATGGGTATTCGATCATTGTATAACTGAAACCCAAGCACAAAAATTTGTAAGTCTACAACTGTACCTCATGGTGTTTCACTAATAAAAATTTAAGAAAAAAAAAAGGTCTTGGGGCTGGGGCTGGAGTGACAGCACAGCGGGTAGGGCGTTTGCCTTGCACATGGCCGATCCGGGTTTGATTCCCAGCATCCCATATGGTCCCTCGAGAACCGCCAGGAGTAATTCCTGAGGGCAGAGACAGGAGCAACCCCTGAGCATCGCCAGGTGTGACCCAAAAAGAAAAAAAAAAAGGTCTTGGGGCTTGCAGAGCGCAGGACTTGGGGGCGGAGGCAGGGGACACTGAACAGGCAGACAGCTGCCTTCCGCTCCTTACTCTTACTTGTTCCGTGCTCTGTCCTCTTTTCTTTTAGAACCAGGAAGTAAACAAGCGAATGGGAAAGGACAGGAGGGACTAACGCACCTTCTTTGCACTTGGGCTATGGATTCTGAGTCCTTTGTCCACCGGATGGTAGAATCTTCATGAATCTCTGCAAACTGGCAACTTAGCTGCAGATTCCCGGGGTGGTCTGGTAACAGCTCAGCCTGGATCTTCTTCAGCAATACCGGGGCTAGAAACAGGAGGTTTGAGGGGTCAGTGCTCTGACAAAGCTTTCAAAGAGCCCAGCCCTGGACCTGGCATCTCCCACGTCCTCTCATCCAATTCTTAAAACAATCCCAAGACTTGCGGATACTAATCATAACCCTCCTCTGATGGGTGAAGAAGTTGAGAGTAGGAGGAGAAGGTGACCCCCGTGACAGGGAAATGCACTATAGCACTGCACTGTTCTACCGTTGTTCATCGATTTGCTTGAGAGGGCCCAGAAACGTCTCCATCGTGAGACTTGTTGTTACTGTGTTTGGCATATCGAATATGTCACAGGGAGCTTGCCAGGCTTTGCCATGCGGCCAAGATACTCTCAGTAGCTTGCCGGGCTAAACAAATCAATATAGGAAACTCCTCAAAATCCCTTGGGAGACGTGTGTGTGTGTGTGTGTGTGTGTGTGTGTGTGTGTGTGTGTGTGATGCACAAAATAAAATCCAGTTTGTTTTTTCTTTCTTTTTTTGGATGATGGTTTATTTATTTACTTTTTTTATAATTTTATTTATTGAATCACCATTTGTTTTTTCTTTTTTAAGATTGGGAGAGAAGGGGCAGGAGCGAGAGTACAGCAGGTAGGCGGGATGTGCAGTTACCCTGGACTCACACTGGGGGGCAGCACAGACCACAGAACAAGTCGGGGGCGGGGTTGTGAGGGGTGGGGTCCAAGGGCTGCTTTCAGAATACCTTAAACCCAACAGTGACTGGAACCGGGGTGTCTGTCTCTTGCGGGCCAAGTTCTCTAACTCTGCAATTTTGAGAATGGCAATACAGAATGTTCTGTGACCCACGGCTGGCCATGAGTCACTAATGCTGGTGCCCAGACTCCATGACCTGTCCTTGTGCTTAGCAGCTACCAACTCCCTGAGGTGTCCCAGACACCGGAGTAATAGTTAGTGCAGCAGCTCATTTCCCTGCAAGCCCAAATGACAGGGAGATAGCGCCTCACCCCAGCAGGCACGAGCCGTATCAAGAACACTGGGAACAGGGAGGTGGCACAGGTTAGAGTGGCAGCTCCTGGTCCCTGAGCATCACTGGGAACAGCCCTGGAGGCCCCAGAACCACCAGGGTCCAGCAGTACCACCTCCTCAGGCCTGGCACTGGGGCAGGTTAGCTGAGAATGGCTAGTGGGGTCCCCAGGTCTCCTAAGCATGGTTTAAGAGCCCCCACCAAAAAAAAAAAAGCGCCTGGAAACAGTTGGCAGGTATGAGACAGAAGAGCCTTGTACACTGCAGGGCAGGCATGACCTGGGCCGGACCCCACATCCAGCAGCACAGGGCTTCTCCCAATACCAGGATCCGAACTCCCGAGGGACCCAGCGAAGGGTGTTTGGCATCTTCCAAAGCAGACAGACCACCACTATGTGCACGGTCCTGTCGCCACAGCTGTTCATGAGAGCGGCGGTCCGGGGACAACCCAAGGGCCCAAGGACAGATGCTTCATAGGACAGCATGTCCTTGGGCCCTTTCGCGATGACATGGATGGAAAAGGAGGAAAATGCTTGAAGAGAAACAGGAGAGAGACAGGGGCGGGGGGGGGGGGGACAAATTCTAAACTGTCGGGAGCCTGTTTGGGGTGGGGAGGAGGGAAGCTGGGAACAGACTGTGGCCAGCGAAAACAAGCGCTAGACTCGGAGCCCAGGACTGAGTTTAGGGGTGCTGGGCTCCGTGGGGGAGTGGCAGGGCACTGACTGTGAGAGTGGTGTGTGTCCCCCAAACAGACACATTCACAGAACCAATGAGGCCGCCCGAAAACTTTCCCCAAGGCTCCACTGGCCGTTTTTGGCTGAGCAGGCAAGCGGGTCAGAGCAGATGATGCAGTCCGGCTCTGCATGTGGGAATGTCCTGGCCACCCCGTGGGGACTGGGGGCCACCAGGGCCACACCCGGCAATGCTCGGGGGACAGTGTGGTTTGGGCTTAAATCTAGTCAGTTGATGCCAGACGTGTGTCCAATTGGCTGCGCTATTTCCCAGTCCCTCGATCAAAGTATTTCTTTGAACTCTTAAAAAATATCAGGAGGGGCTGGAGCGACAGCACAGCGGGTAGGGCGTTTGCCTTTCATATGGCAGACCCGGGTTCGATTCCCAGCATCCCATATGGTCCCCTGAGCACCGCCAGGGATGATTCCTGAGTGCAGAGCCAGGAGTAACCCCTGTGCATCACTGGGTGTGACCCCAAAAAAGCAAAAAATATATATATATATATCAGGAAAAAAATGCTTATCTCCTTCTTTCCGAAGACTGATATGAGTTATTTGAGGGGTAACACCCTCCACACTGCCAGACAGAGCACCCCACATGCTGGGGGTGACTTGACGTACTGCCAGAATTGGCACACAGTCTAGCCGGGTCCCCCCACCCTGGGGATGGTACATCTCTGTCCTTTCTTCTCCCAGCATGAATGGGAGGGGGGGAAGAGAGCTTTGAGGCAGGAGAGTACCAGAGGGGTACACGTGGGAATTGGGGATTGACTGAGCCCTGCAAGGCAGGGTGACAACTAGGACCAAGTCCCTGAGCCTCGGGTGGCCTGAGGCCTGGAGCAGATACCCAGGTTGGGGGGGGGGGGGGCTCTTATCTCAGATAAAGAAGGGTGGGATAGAGCGACAGCACAGTGGGGGGAGGGCGTTTCCCTTGCATGAGGCCCACCTGAGTTCAATCCCCAGCATCCCATATTGTCCCCCAGCACCACGAGGAGTAATTCCTGAGTACAGAGCCAGGAGGAAATTGTGAGCATTTATGGGTGTGATCCAAAAAGAAAAAAATGAGGGGATAAGCGGGGAAGGAAACCATAACATAACCATAACTCCCCCCCCCCCCCCCAATTCTGGAACCTTTACAGTAGACACAAGGGCCAGGAAGATTGCTCCATAGTTGGAAGCCTGTCTCATGAGCTGGGGGAGAAGGCAGCTGGAATAGAGAAGGGATCACTATAAGTCAATGATGGTTGGAGGGATCATTCGGGATGGGAGATGCGTGCTGAAAGTAGATAAAGGACCAAATGTGACGGCCTCTCAGTATCTGTAGTGCAAACCACAATGCCCAAAAGTAGAGAGAGTATGGGGAAAACTGTCTGCCATGGAGGCAGGGGGAGGGTGGGAAAGGGGGGATATACTGGGGACATTGGTGGTGGAGAAAGTGCACTGGTGGAGGGATGGGCGTTCGATCACTGTATGACTGAAACTCAAACATGAAAGCTTTGTAACTTTATCTCATGGTCATTCAATTAAAAAAAAGTTCTCCACCACCACTGACCCCAGTATCCCTCCCACCCCCCCCCATCCCCCCCATCCCACCTTGCCTCTGTGGCAGGGCATTCCCTTTTGTTCTCTCTCCCCTTTTGGGTGCTGTGCTTTGCAAAAGAGGCATTGAGTGGCATTCATGTTCGGCCTATAGTCTGCTCTCAGCACGCATCATTGTATAACTGAAACCCAAGCACAAAATTTGTAAGTCTACAACTGTACCTCATGGTGTTTCACTAATAAAAATAAAAATTAAAAAAAAGTAAAAAAAAAATCAGAGCCTTCCCTGACCTAGAAACTTCCTCCTGTGCCTTCCACCTAGCATGTGGCCTGCTGAGGGCGTGTTTATAAGAGGGGATTGAGCAGGAAGCAGGTGGAGCACTGCAGGACGGCTCCCAGTCAGCCTCCTCCAGGAAGCCCCCCACTTCAGCCTCCTGCCTGCAGACTCACCTGGAAACCTGCTCAAACAAAGCTCAGACCTTCACCTGCGCTGTTTCTGCGCAGGTGACCACCGTGTTAGGACCTGCAACCCCGGGGCCCTGGGGGTCACTTCCCACGGGTGGGGACAGCCTGGCCTGGACTCCCGGGCCGGAACACTCCAGATGCAGGAGGCCCGGTCTTACCTTTCCCTCCGCGCCTCCTGGCCTCCTTCCTGTCCGGCACGAGGGCCCTTGCGGGGTGGGGGGCCGCGCCCCTCCGCCCGTCGTTCTCCTTCTCCTCCAGCCGCAGCCGCACGCGCCGCCACCCGGACAGGATCTTCTTCTTCACGCCCTCGGCGAGGTGCCCCGCTGCCCGCAGGCTCGGGCCTCTTCTTCCTCACCACCTCGGGCTCCCCCGCATCCCTGGTCCTGGTCCTGCCCCCGAGGGCGGGGTCCCCGGGCCCTCCGTGTGGCGGGCGCTTGAGCACCCGCGGGGCTGGGGGGCGACACGGAGGCGCAGGCCGCTGGGACTCCCCCAACCAGGGGCGCCCCCGAGGCAGGGTCGTGGGGGTGGGGGGGGCTCGCGGGGCCGTCTGGGGCGGGGGATAGACGGGCCGCCGACCCCACGCTTGTTCTCCAGGATCCGTCTTCCTGCGGGGCCAGAAGACGCAGGTTGGGGGTCTCTGGGCTGCGCCGCGCCGCTCTCGGGGACCCCCGGGGGCTTGGTCCTGGGCGTGGTGCCTGTCCGCTGCTCCCATCTCGCGGCCGGCTGGACTTTGGTTTCCTTGGGGGGTCACTTCTCCCCCTTCGCGGGAGCCTGGGGATTGCAAAAGGGGGCACTTCCGGGGAGCCCCCCAC